ACCGGACACAAAAAAATGTAATTTTGGTTGGATGGAAAAACGTAAAAAAAAAATCATGTATCAAATCATGACAGATAAGAAAGCAGGTGTTTTGTTTTTCAACTGTGCGTGCATATATCTATATATATATATATAACCAGAAAAAACACAAAAGGTGGGGAACTGCACTTAGAAACAGTAAAAAATTAAAGAATACACACAACCAATAGAGGGAGTGTTTTACTGGCTCCCAATCTATCCACAGGTGGGGATCAGTCCACCCATGCCCATCATACCAGAGCAGGTCCATGCTGTGGCTATTCTAAGTAGGATACTTAACCATGTACTGCTATACTGTTTTACACTATTGGAGTTCCCTCATTATGTTTTTTTACATATACTACTGATTGTTGCCAAGACTCCTGGGTTTCAATACTATATCTATAGACGGGGATTATACCGTCCAAGCTTTCTTTTTTTTTTTAAAATTCTTTATTTTTGTCGTGCAAGAATTTACAACAGTGTCTGTGTAGCCACAACAGCTGTAACAGACGCAGTCAAATATAACATAGTAAAACAATTTCGTGGCATAAGTTAACTCAGCACATTTTTGTATTTTAGTGAACAGAAAAGACAACCGTAAGCGGTGTATAGTTCAACCCATGTGTGGGCAAAAGCATTTAAGTAGCTGGTTCACATGTTGGTTTGCACCTTTGTGTAAGGAGCATGCATACATTTTTGTTATGAGCTTACTTTACATCGTGGTATCAACAAGTTGAGAAAAATATTAATAATAACAATAGGTGGACATATGCTGTAACAGTGGTGTTTCAGCAGATTCGTGCTATGAGGGATAATACTATAGTAGTGCGATGATGCTGTAAGTCATTCGCGCTCTATAATGAGAAGGGACTACGTCCGCCTTTAGTTTTAGCTCAGTTTAAGTGGGAGCGTGTGGTTTGTGCCTTAGAGTGAACGCTAGGTAGGTTACGTCTTAATAAGGTAGTCAGGTCGTAAATATTGTAGCAATACTAAAGAAACAAGGAAACAAGGGAAAATTTTAAAAAACAAGGAGTATAGTTTGCTCTGGTATCGTGACATTAATTTTGTCGTGCCGATTCATACAGATAAGGAGTATACATCCCAGTGGCGTGTTCCCTGTATAAGGGAGATTAGATTGTGGCATAAAGGAATGTATGTCTGTATATTTTTCAGAGAGCAGAGATAGCTAAATGCTTCTGTTGTCAGAATCGAAGTGTGTATCGCCTATTTCGTTAGTGTGGCTTACGCTGCTTGTATGAGTAATGCAGTATTACTGGCAACCATGTTGTTGTGGCTAGTTGCTCTAAATGTTTGAGTGACTCATGTCTTGTGAGATGGCCCAAGTTCGGCTAGGCTATTGTACTGGCAGGGTAGGGTTAAAAATCAAGTTAGTCCTGCCATAAGTATCTGAATGGGTGAGTATAAGAATGCGTCCCGTGTTTAAGTCCTATGGGAAGGTCACGGCTCTATAAAAAGCGTCGGGCCTGGTTGGGCTCGTGTTCCTAGTTTGCGGTCAGTTTGGTCCCTGCGCTGTGACATTCTAAGTAAATGCGCATTTACAGTGGTAAGATCATTTTGTGGCCTTAGCGCTATTATAAACAGATAACAATCATGGCCCTTGGTCATTCCCAGGGGTCGTTAAGGGCTGACCTGCATGGAGGACTGAGAGTCTCTGGGTGTGTGGTGACAGCTGTCACAAGACGGTCGAGTGCCCTGGAGCTGCTTAGGGCGTTATCGTGCGGCTCTGCGAAGTCCCTCCTGAGTTCCTCTCTCTGTGTAGGCGAAGGTCCTGGTTTTTCGTGGTCTCTCCAGCGACCAGCAGTGTGGTGCCGTCAGGTACAAAATAAAAGTCCTTGGAAGGAAAAACAAAAAGAACTGGGTATGAAGGAAACTAAAGTCAGATGATAGGCAGGAGCGGCCGCGGGTCGCTGTCTCTGCGCCTCTTTAGGGCGGTATAGTGCCGCTTGGTGCCCCGTTCTTCTCTGCAAGGTTGCCTGGCTGCCCTTTCTGCGGAACGAATGGCTTGGTCCTTGCGGGGTCCCAGTTGTGCTTCTTGCCTCTGGCTTCTGCTGGGCCTGTCGGCATAGGGGAGTTCTCTGGCAGGCCAAGTGTGATCAGTAGCCGTTTAGCCTCCGGTAGGTCTTGGACTGTGTGGATCATATTGTCCTTTAGGACCTGTAGGGCCCTTGGTGTGCGCCATCGATAGGTGATATCATTTTGTCTCAGGAGTGTCGTGACGGGTTGAAGGGATCTGCGCCACTGCATGGTGTCTCCAGACAAGTCTGAAAAGAAGGTAAGGTTGGCATTTTCGAAGTTGAGCGGGGTCTTCCCTTGCAGGGCCTTAAGCATGGCCGCCTTGTCTGCTCCAGATCGGAATCTCACCACCAGGTCACCGGAGGCCATGGCTGGGGCCGTCCTCGGTTTGGGGATTCTAAATATCGCCTCAAAGCTCAAGGCTTTCGCTTGTTGCGGCTTCAGTAGTGTTCCCGCTAGTCTCCTCACCAGGTGTGGGAGTTCACCCGGCAAGACTTTGTCTGGGACGCCTCGGATCTTGAGGTTATTGCGGCGTCTTTGATCCTCAAGGGCCGCAAATCGGTGGTCCGTAGTTGCTTGGTGCTGTTTGAGCGTTTTTAGCTCTTTTCGTAGGTCCGCAATTTCTTGGGCCTGCTTGTCCGTGTGGGCCTCTATGGCTCCCATGCGCCCGATCAGGCCTGTCACCTCCGCCCGGAGCTGTGCAACATCTGCCTGGATCACCCGCTGCAAGTCACCCAGCATTGTTCTCAGCGTGTCTGTTGTGATCAGTTCAGGTTGCTTTGTGGGTGCGGGTGGTTGGGTCAGTGGGGCGAACATGCCACTGGTGTACTCATCTAGGCTCAGTTCGTCCGAGGAGTCTGAGTACCCCGCCATGTCGGCGGCCATCTTGGCCCCTCGTGCGTCTTGTGCCTGGCGGAATAGGTCCCCGATATCGGGGCCCAGTTTGGGCTTGTCCGACCTCTGCTTTTTCGCTTTTTGTCCCATGGTGCCGATGGGCCTGTGGGATCGATTTTGGTTTTGTTATTTTTGCAAAATTCGCGTTTTTGTCAGCTATGGGTGAGGAGCTCGTTGATCATGCGTCCGCTCCTGTTGGCTGCTAGGCTCCGGCTCCCGTCCAAGCTTTCTAAATAGAACTATAGTAGTTCCTCCATTTTTTTACTGTTTCTATGCGTGCTTCACCACCTCTTGTGTTTTTTCTGTTTGCTTATCACAAAGTTGTGGAAACTCCTTTCGGGTGGACCGCTGCTACTAGAGATAGATAGACAGATAGGGATAGAGAGCTCCATTCACATATCTTTGTTTCCTATATATATATATATATATATATATATATATATATATATATATATATATATAAACACACACTACCCATGTATATTGAATATGTTGCTGCATTGCATCTTTGGATACATGAATATAAACATATGCATGCATACATGTACACGTGTATGTAGACTCTGATATACTAACAAATACACAAACACAGAGGCACACAATTACACAAATTGACAGTAACACAGTTTGTCTGAGAGTGTGTATTTCTGTCCGAGTGTGTCTGGTAGTGAGGATACTTTTGTTTGTGTCCCTAAATATACATCTGTGTGTGTGAGTGTCTGGACTGTTTATCTGTGTATGTGTAGGAGCCGCTTGCAGTTTTGTGTTTATGGGGAGAGGTTTGTTTTCTCGATGTGTGCTTCGTGTTTATGCCAATCTCGGCACCCAAAGCAAGCCCCTTATGCTTCTGATTGCATAAGTTTCTCCTTCTTTATTAGTCAATATATTTGAATAAGAAGGGGGATTTTATGCAAAAAATTAGATACCCAGCTGTTTTACTACATTTAATACATTCATATTAATGATTAGGACACAGTGTGTATGCTTTGCCATTAAACATGTGTGTCTAAGTGTAGGCGTAGATTTGATGCATGCGTGTAAGCTGCGTGTGTAAAGATAGACAGTATTACATGAGTACCAGGCCGTCGGGCTCAGCTTCTCTAAGTGATTGGGTGATAGGCTGCTTGAGAGCGTGTTTGGTGTGTGTAGTACAGCGATATATGTCTATGTCAGTCGTACTGTGAGAATACTAGCTGTATAAGAGTGGTCAAGCATTAAACATTTCTGTAAGGTTTTGCATTGTTGATGAGTCTCTATTTAGGAGGCTGTAATGTAGTCTGTCCAGCGTCTGTTATAACAAAGGTTTGGGATATGAACCTTTGTGGTTCCCATCTTGTGAGTCCAATATCAGCCTATACCCAACAATGGGAAGGTTGTAGGTGAGATGTTAGAGTCCCACTTGGTCACAGCAAGGTGCTGCGTCGTTGGTTCCAGCGGTTGGCTTGTCTGCTCGTTGCGGTGGAGGCCTGTTCTGGTGACGCAGGTGAGTGGTGTTCCCCTCTGATACTCTGGGGCCCTCTGTGGTTTCAGGCGGTTTCTGAGCTGTGTGGGGCGCTTGCCAGTCATTGATTGTGTTGTGAGTCTCGGACTCCTGCCGGGTCTGTGGGGAGCTTGTGGGCTATTTCGGGCAGGCCTCCTTGCGCGGTGCGGTCTTGCTTGTTTGTATGCGGGCGGGAGAGGTCTCCTTCTCCGGCGCCATCTTGTGTGTCTCATCGGACGGTGGCCCGTGCGGTTCTGGTGGATGTGTGCGGGTTCTCTGTTGGGTGAGTGCCCTGGTTCTTCAGCCTGTCGGCCTCTGCTAGCCAGTTTCGCCCAAAAGGCTTCGAATAGGGCATCAAGCTGGGTGTGTATGTTTTGCCTTTCCGTTTGGCTATTATGGGGATATGTGGCGTCCGCCATTTTGTGGGCCAATGTAGTGAAGGGCTGTCTGAGAGGTTCACCTTTCAGTGCAAGATTTAGCTCCGCTGCCTGGGGGGGTTGGACCGGGATCACTCCCACCGGTCCTGAGGGGTGGGGGGAACAGGTATTCAGTAGTTTAGTGCCTCCGATGCAACATTATTTCTGACACGCATTTAAACCTTTTTGGGGTTATTCAATGAACCATGGATTTTAAAACACTAACCACAGTATTGTGTATTAAATTATTGAGTTTTGGCCAAAAATACGCCATTCTGATGCTAAAATGTTAATTGTCTGGAATTCAGCGTAGATTTAAAATTTGAGGCCCAAACAGAGAATTTGGAAAAAGTCAGTAATTATTTCAGTTTATATATTTTGTCCTGAAATGTTAAATTCACTTTGAATTCCAAACTGTGCATATTTTTATGAATAACCCTGCCATATTATTATTATCATTCACATAGCGCCAACATATTCCACAGCGCTCTACATATATAGAAATTATCTAGATTATTTAGAGGTGAAGAAGACCCTGCTCAAACAAGCTTACAATAGTAGTTGGACAAAAACTGCAAATTTTGTAATAAAGGTTTATGTAGTCAACTTCCTACCACCATGCAAGACCATAGCTCCCAATTCAGTATTAAATAAAATAATAAAAAAAAAAAAAAAACATAAATAAAAAAACAGGCGAAAGATAAATCACTTGAGACCAATACCCGGTTTGTTTCTCCCCCCCATCTAGATTGTAAGCTCCCACGGGAATAGGCACCCAAACTCCATCTGTATTTGTTTGTTAATTTTTATATTGTCTCAGATGTAATGTACGTTTTGTGTGTTTTACCAATTGTGCCGACGATGCACAGTGCTACAGAATTTGTTGGCACTTTGTAAAATAAAAGTATAATAATAATTTGTTATAAAAAAGAAATGTTATCAAATCTGATGATTTAACTGGTTTGCAGCACAGGACGTCAGACAGACAATAAAGCACAGACAACTGTGACATTACATTTCTTTTTAATAATAATAATAAAGCATACAAAACAGAGAATATAGAAAAGTATTCTGCAGTCTGAACAGCTCTATAGAAAGATTTCAATACGAGTCATCTTTATGATGCTCAAGACCCCATAATATGCTACTAACTCCATAAATGTTATGCATCATCTTAGATCCTTTAGAGGACAACCATGCCTACAACGAAAAAAACCCTGAAACTTTCAGGTGATAGACGACATGATGAAATGCATAACAAATATTGACCATATATTTCCCCAGTACACAAATTTATTTTTTTGAAACTGGGAATTGTGCAATTTGTATTTTCTAGTAACTTAAAAGATTTTTTATTACGTTCATGTAACTTTTTTAACAGATGGGTGTAGTGTTGTGACAATATAGCTAGGGACCAGTTTTAGATACAAGTCCAAATGTTCTGGTCAGAAACACTATTAAAAAAAAAAAATTATGAAAAAATGCAGACAGACATTTGGCACGCCAGACTAAAAGGCTGTTAATCCATCAGACTGCAGCTTTTGCATCCAAAACTAGATGATCCGGCAAAAGATACTTAAGTTCTGATAATTAACTGGTCCAGTACCAACCATCATGTGGGACATATTCACATCTCGCATTCTCCCATCCAGTCAGTCACAGTATAGTCCGGGTAGAAATGTTCAAAAGAACTTAGAATATATATATATATATATTTTTTTTTTTTTTTCCATGGTACAAAAGCAAGTAACTCAATACACGATGTTCAGTAATTATTTTGAAGGCAGTGGTAAGCTCAATGGCAGTGATTCTTGCGTAGCTCATGAGAACAAGACTGGCTTCCTCATTTAGCTGACGGAATTTAGTCCACAAGGAGATGCGAATAGAGAAGAGATGTCCTCTTCTCTCGTCTTAATTACATTTTTGATTAAAATGGAAAGCAGAGTTTTTAATGTCCAGGTGTAATCCACTTTTTGACAACCGTGGTTACATTACACCTTATCTGCTGGGGTTGGGATGTGAGAATAGGATTCTTGTTTGGAACAGGCCTCCGTGGTGTCTGTAAAAAAGAGATGATGTAGAGCTTGGGAGGCAGATATTCGTCTCTCAGGACTGAAAGTCAGCATTTCCTAGAAAGAAAAGAGAAATTTTAAGATACTTTTTTCCATATCACAAAAACAAAAATTCCATTTAGTTCATGGTAAAAGAAAAGCATGAAACAAAATCATATAAGGTGTTAAATTTTTATATTTATTAAGTAATTTAAAAATAGGACCATCCAAATCACCAAAACTTTTTTGGACAGCTGTTTCTTATTTCTTTTTATACGTTGTTATTACTGCTGGGTACTTAAGTTTGTGGCATACTGGGGACAAACACTGCTAAATAACACAGTATATAATACTTTTATATAAGTTGGCTGGGTAAGAGGCTTATTGTCGGTTTCTGCGGGTATCGCTGGGTAGCAGGTCGGACAAACAGAGTATTGGGGTAAGCTGTGCATTAGGCAGCCTTTAGCAGTAGCCAGAGGCGGCTCAACCAATGCCCACTAGTGGCAGCCTGCCAAACCCAGGGAATCTGAGTCCGTCTTGTTGAAGGTGAAAGCACCGCCGGTTCCAAGTGCCTGTGTGGTCGTGTACTTCACTGACTGCTCCGTCTGAGTCCAGTAACTGGGTCGTGAGTTGTAGCGCCATATGTGATCTCTCCGACTGAACGGCATGCCAGCTTGGAGTCGGCTCCCTTGTGAGTGCCGTGGAGGGACGCAGCTGCGAGGTGGTAAGGTGCATGCCTGGTGGCATTGTGCTGCTGTGCGGTTCGGTGGTTGGGAAGTCCGCCGGCAGGCCCGCCAGCGAGATGGTCGCATCTCCATGTGGGCGCTGGGTCGATAAGCCGCCGCTTCAGCTCCAATTCTCTGTGCATTAAGGATGGGTGGCGTTAAGCTCTATGCGCATCCAAACGTCTTGTCAGATGCAGTCAAACTGAGCTTTAAAGTGCTCTCTCCATGCCTGTGTCTATGGGCTTTCTTGTGGTTGGTGCTCAGCAGCCATCTTGGGCCCGACATGCGGTCTGCATCCCGGCCGAGGGATTTAAAGATTGAAGCCTGTTGGTATTCCCAGCGGGGACCAGGATAACCCCCACCGGTCCAGGGGGGAGGGGGAGATGCAGGTCGTCAGGAGAGCTGCTGCTTTTTACAGTCCCCAAGTTAGGCCTCATCTGTGAAGTGTGGAGCGTTCACCCCAGAATTTCACAAGGCAGGTGTCAACGGGTCTCCACTTGGTTCAACACTGCTGTTTTGCTGAGCTGCTTTTGTCGAGATTGTGGCATATATTTGCCAATATAAAGCTGCGTTTATGCTGGAGCTCTCTGCAAGCACGTCTAGCTAGCTCGGCTGTCAGGCCCCACCCCAAAAGGAAAGTTTAATTTCTATCCCCAAATATAATTTCTGCTCAGGAGCTTTTCAATGTTGTTTTAGTTCATTCGCATCTTTAAAGATAAAACCTATCTCAATGAATATATGGCAATTTTGAAATAAATTAATAAAAATAATAAAAACCCTGAAATACTCACCAGCAATAGTTTAGCACCTATGGCATCAATCTCTGGCACAAAGTCCTCCACTGGCTGAGGATTCCTTGCTGAGAAGGCAGAGCGTGACAACGTTACATCCACTGGCCACTCTTCCTCAGATGGAAGCCCAATCAAGCTGAAGAGAAAGAATGTAAAATACAATATAAAAGGAAAATTAAATAGTTTACAAGTGATCTTTACACACCACAAATAATTGTGCAAATCCAGTGAACTCAATGTGTTAATTCATGGCATTTAAATGTCCTGTGTCTGCATTTTTAGATAAGCTTACAATCAAGCATGCTATGGCATGTTACAGAGGCCAGCCCTATCCAATTCTGAACAATTAATCTGTCTGTTACACAGGAGTAGTACGGACAATATTTTTGTTAATATTTACCACAACTTAAATAATTCATCATCTGTAACACAATGAATTTCATATTCAATTGAGACTGTAAAAATGCACAGTGGACCTACTGAATGTTACATTATTGCTATTTTACTCATTGTATCATAGTATAATCTATATATTAGATTTTGAGGTCTTATAATCTCTGCTATTGTGATACACAAGATCACTATCAATGACCTTCTTTCATTGTTTTCAACCAATCCTGGTCCTCCTGTTGCTTTGATTCAATGGTAGAATTGTTGAGCATAGAAATGCAAATAAAAATAAACCTTTGTATAGGTCAATCTCAATATTTTGAGACATTATTCATGATCATTTTTTTGAACGCTCACTGCCATTATTTTCTTCGAAAAGGGGCACAACCTAAAGGACCTGACCCCAATGTTTTTTCATTCATTATTAAAATAAATCCAGGAGTATAATTCTGCACCCGCAGCAGTCCCCTTTACCTCATTGGACGAGGGTTAATTTTGGGGTGTGGAGTGTTTCTTTAAAGGTTCTGCTGTCAAAGTAGGTGTATTTATGTGGGGAAAAAAGTATATTAACAACAACATGTCAGTCTTAGAGAGCTTGCTCGTGTGCATCTGAAGTATAGACTCCCAACATTTTCTACTTCCGGTTGTTTTTAAATACAAGATACGCTATGTCATGGGTGGACAAACAGTAGATTCCCAGATGTTGTAGCACTGCGATTGCCAGGATGATTTGCCATTCAAAAGGCTGGCAAAGCATTATGAGAGTTGTAGCTCTGCAACATATGGGGAGTTACAAACCAGCCCTTCACTATATGTTATTAACTGACTCTTAAATAAATAAGCAAAACTGACGTACTCAAGTGCAGTAAAGTAAAACTCCTGTATCAGTTGCTAGTTCTTATATCTCTTCCAAGAGGAAGTGGTGAGTATTTATTTATTTATTTTTTTAAATATCAAAATGTCATTCTAAGCATCATAATAGCGAAACATTGCTGCAAAGGTTGCGTTGCAGAGAGTATTGTGGCTAATAGCAGTTTGCTGTGGTATGACTACTACCTGCTTATTCTGCATTAACCCTCGTCCAATGAGGTTAAGGGGACTGCGGCGGGTGCAGAATTATACTCCTGGATTTATTTTAATAATGAATGAAAAAACATTGAGAAATCAGCACTTTTGTAAATAAACTAAGGAACTCCCCCCTGGCTGTCAATCAAACATTGCACGTCAGCAGCAAGTCAGAGGCTTCTCAATGAGAAATACCCGGGAAGAGACTGAAAGTCTTTTCAAGGAAAAAAGGGGAGGGCTGGCTAAGAACTGCAACCGTTGCAAGCTCTTTTAAGATATACCTCCAATGAATACATGCATGAAAAATTAATGCATGTATTCACTGGAGGGATATCTAGTAAATAGTTATTTAAAAAAAAACAAAAAAAAGTTACTATGAGGGAAGTGGAGAGCTCCTTTAAAACAGCAGCCTTGTTAAACTACAGTTCCAAACAGACTCAAATCTGCTTCCACATGTTATTGGGGTAAAAAGCCAGTTCACTTTACTTCCTCCGTAACACAACAATCTTTTAAATCCATTCCATAGATATAGCAATGTTTAAGATGTTTTGCAATGCTGTTTACAGTTCAGCTCTCTAACTGTGGAAACTCCTTATGTGACTTTAGATTCTAAATAAGGATAAGCAAACAAATTTCTCCTTTTAGGCTTTTCACAAGAACAGACAACTTACTCAAAGATCTTGCATAACTGATCAGCCTCTGAATTTCCACAAAAGAGAGGTCTGGAAAATAAAAACACGTAAACTGTCAGCACTGGTGGTTAATGGTTAGCTTCACAGTTCGCAGTTATAAAGAATACATTACGTTATATTCTAAGCTGGAAAAACAAAACAGACACATACATGGTTGGTTTTAATTAGCTTGAACATTTTCAAAAAAATGTAACTCTACTATAGTCACTACTTGGCTATTTAAGTCTGATGTTTGCAATTCATATAGAAAAAAAAAAACATCAGAGAACTTTTTTTTTACATAATTTACATCAGAATATATGGAATATATGTGGTAAAAGACATGGCCTTATTTTGGCCATAATCAGTGACAGAAGTGACCCATCCCCCCAAACACCACCCTTGCCCCTTCCATCTCTGCAGTTATCTGAGCTATACTGGGATGTGTCTTAGCCTACCTGGGCATTCCAGAACCTTGGCACAATGCTCAACAGCCCCTTATGTCCTAGGGTCCTATGGCAAAAATTTATGTCAGTGATATGGCTCCCCATCTCTAAAAAAAGGGGTCATCTGCACCACGGGCCAAGGTAAACATCACAAATTAACACACAGTAAGCGAAACAGTCCTGAAGTCTACGGTGATGTTACAGGTGGTCAGAGGATTGTGACTCTGTTTGAATATGAACATATTGTTCAAAGAAAGTAAAACTTGGTGTTAAATGTATTAATTCTAAATTAAAAAGGAGCTGTTACAAGGGATTGAGTTTGTATATCAAGTCAGCAGAATAGGTTGAGGTGGAAAAAAAATATATATACAAAAATACATAGTTTTGAGGTTGGGCTCTATGAGATGCATGTGTTATGAAACACAGTGGTAAGACTCTTAAAGGAGCATTATAGGGTCAGGAACACAAACATATATTTCTTACCCTATAGTGTTAAAACTACCATCTAGCCCCCCTGATTTCCTCTTGCCACCGTAAATATAGTGAAATCTTACTTGTATTCAAGTCTGCAGCTGCTACCTCTGCCCCTGTTTGCCTGTGAACTGCCTCTGTCTGCTGACATAATCAGAAGTGTTGTTCTGAGCCAATCCCAATGCTTTCCCATAGGATTACCTGAGGCTGTCAAGGAAGCAGATCATGGGCAGAGCCAACACAAGTCAAACACAACCCTGGTCAATCAGCATTTCTTCATAGAGATGAATTGAATAAATGCATCTTTATGAGGAAGGTTCAGTGTCTACATGCAGAGGGTAGAGACACTGAATGGCAGTGCTGCACACTAGGCAGGACTACCCCAGGAAGCACCTCTAGCAGCCACCTAATGAGTGGCCAGTGGAGTTATCCCTAGGATATACTGTAAACACTGCATTTTCTCTGAAAAGACAGTGTTTACAGCAAAAGGCCTGAATGGAAAGATTCTACTCACCAGAACAAATACAATAAGCTGTAGTTGTTCTGGTGACTATAGTGTCCCTTTAAGATTTTGCAAACTAATAAAACATCAGAAGGAACAAAAAACTAGAATCTGTTCAGTCAAGAGTTAGCGGGTATTCTATGCCTAGAAAATGGCATAACCAGGAAGCTGAGCAATTGAGGTTCTCCACTAGTCTTTGAGAAAAAGGTCCAACATATACAACATGCCCAAACGTTTATTAACCTTTACCGTAATGAAGAGGGAGGATTAAAGAAGATTGCTTTGAAGTGTATCATGCACTATTTGGGTTTACACCTAGGTATAGCAACACATACTCACTTTCTTCTGTACATCTCAGCAAATATGCAACCCACGCTCCATATGTCTACTGGAGTGGCATAGGTTGACTGAAGCAGCACTTCTGGGGCCCGGTACCACAGCGTCACCACCTGCACAAGGAATTTAAATACCATTAAAATGCCTTCTTTTAATCAACATCAAACAAAATGAGTAACAAGTGAGAACCTACTTTCCTATTGTAAACTTGTTAAAGAGAACACACCAAGCACCATAACCACTACAGCATGCGGTAGTGAATTTGGTGCCTTGAGTACCCTGGTGTCCCCCCCACTGTAAGTAGTCCAACTGTTTTCTAATGGCTTGACTTCTTACCCAGGGCCTTCCGAGCATTACACAAGAACAAACCCAAGCCTCCACTGTTTTAGTTCAGAAGCCAGATGTTCCTAGGCAGGATCTTCTGTCTGCTCTTCTGAGCAAAGTCCTGCACTGCTGATTTAGAGAGAGCAATACGCTCTCTGTCTGAAGTAGTGGTGGTGGGGAGCAGTACCTGAGAGACAACCAAGTACGAAATCATACCACTCTAAAATGGTTTTATTACTTACAGCATACATATGATTAGAGCAGAGATTAGATACACACTTCCTTGTGGCCATTCCGATTCATGCTTGCAATGGCACTGTTATAGTGTGCAGTCAGCTGACAACACCAGAAGGGATGGGTTGCTGGGGACTCTTGTTTAGCATTAAACATTAAAAACGGTTTAATGCTGAATGGAAAGACTAGAGGATTCTAGTCACTGTAACCACTTCAATGAAAAATTAAGCAGTTAAGGTGCCTAGAGCAGGGCTTCCCAAGCTTTTATGGGCCGAGACCCACTTTCAAAACGGTAATTTTTCGAAACCCACTTGCTTTTAATGCGTATTTTAAAAAGTGAACACCATGGCAATCAGCTTCAAAGGCATACAATTGGCACACCATGGCAAACCGCTTTACAGGCATACAATTGGCAAAATATAGCAATCCGCTTTAGATGCATACCAGTGGGTTGCGACCCACACTTTGGGAACCGCTGGCCTAGAGTGTCCATTTCAGTAGACACTGCTTTACTGCTTTAGAATAGGCTGCCATGCAAGAAATTAGACTAACAAAACAAGCATTTGCAAAATAATAATTAACATGCAATATTATCTGTCTTATACAGTTTATTACACTCACAGAGAAACTGAAAGACCTAGTAGCCGAGTGCTGACATAGAAGGTTACTGTGATGGCTCCTAACTTTTCAAAGAAATTTATACAAAGCTTGAATATCCACACTAGATCATTTGTTCCTAAAAAAATCAATTATTTCTAGGTCTACAAATAAAAAGTAAAAAATGTAAATAATGAGGGAGAAGCAGGGGGAGATTAGCTAATTATAAAGCATTTTTTATTTCTTGTGCCGGACTGATTATCCTGATTATCTGGCACCACTATTTTCTTCTCCCCCGTTCCCTTCTGTGGGCACTTGAAGTTTCGCACATGCATGAAAATAGGCACACGCCAACCATTCTGTTTAATGAAGCCTGAGCCGGACCACATGCAAATCTGTGAGGCGTGTAAGTCCACCAAACATATTTCATTGGTTGATTTTGGGTAAATCGGCTTGGCAACAGAAACGGAACCTTGATTAAGCTCTGCATTTTGCCAAAGATCCTGGTCTACATAAGAAAAAGTAGAAACCCTAATTGTTTTTATGTAAAAAAACAAAACAAAAAAAGCAGTAAGGCGGTTTTCCTTTATTTTGTCACACGTGAAATGATCTTAAACAGGGATTGTTTATTATGCCAATTCCTCGTTGTGCAGAGTGCAGCTTAGAGCCAGCTGCGAGCAGGACAGATGCATGAGAAGTAGACAATGTGCAGATTACATAGCCGGACGTAGCCTGGAGCCAGCACAGCGTTTGAGAAACAAGTAGATGAATAACCTGCCAGGCCAACACATCCTTCCAGAAAGGGACATTTCATTTACATTAAAGCTGTGAGCAGACAGCTTGCGAAACACAGCAACGACTGCAAATAAACTGAAACTGTAAAAAGTATTTTTTGTGGGTACTCTTGTTTAGAGATACACTGAAACAACAATGGACGTGAGTATGTGCAATGTCCACACAAACAGCCAAACAGTTCACCTCTTTGTTGCAGCAAAACAGACACTGTTCCAAAGGGAATGTTAGCTAGCAGCTGGTATTCAGTCTCAGGGGCTCACACAGGGAGAGGAGAACGCAGAGAGGCTCAGGCAGGGAAAGCCAGTGTCCGCATAGAACGCAGGAGGCAAGATGTCCCTTCACACAATTTTGTTTTTATTGCATGTATTATGAGGGTTTGTTCACTATATTAAGAGAACTGACAATGGCACCAGTCCAGAATACTCCAGATGTGCTTATGCACACTTGTGCATCTGGTTTAAAAATGTGATACCAGTGCCTGTGCTCTTAGGCATTCCTATTATAGTACATCCGCATGTACAAGCCCCCATGCCCCCGCCTTTAAAAAAAACAAAACCTACACACAGCCAAAAACGAACTTTTGGTTAGTTATTCAGCTCATTTTGCATACTTCTACTTTCCATCCATTTGAATGTTAATAAACTGCTCAAGCGTGAATTTTTTGAGATTAAGCACCCAAGGATTTACATAATCACTAGTGACTATTAAAAAATAAAATAAATAAGAATAATGGCGTAAAAGTGGTGTTATACATTAAATAAAACTTGTGGCTGACATCTGTAAACTGAGTTGTCTCAGTCAATATGTGCAGGGAACGAGAAAGTGGAGCACCTACAGAGCTTTGTATGTTTGTTTTGAGAAGCCATAGAATTGATTCAGAATGATACCTTATGCTCCATTAGCTATGTTGTTTTAGTAAAAGGCGCCAACAAATCACCTGTATGTGCTAATTCGCTAACAAGCTTTAAAGTAAACAAAGTTCGCCATCAATTAGATTTCATCTCTACATTGTGCTACAGAATTATTGTATTGAACAAGAAAATAAAAACTGAAGATAATTTTCTCCTCCAAGATGACATTCTGCAACGGAATGGGGCAACTAACTACACAGCTGCCCTGACCCAAACTGATACATGAGGCACCAAGCTTTCTGATTATTGCATAGTAAAAGGGAACATTCAATGTCCGCTCACTCTTGCCAATGGTAAATGTCTATAAATTCTTTATTGCAGTAAAATTGAGTAATTGAGAACCACCTCTCCATTCCCATTAGTGTGATCAGATACCCAATTAACCTCAACTGGTTCTTAAAACTGTGGCTTTCCTTTGTTAATCAAGCCTGCAGACTGATACCCAGTACGGTGATTTTAAAGCTATAATATATTTGCAGAAACCATAGAGTCAGATGCTAGAGCAATGATGCCCACCCTTTGCCCCTCCAACGCACATTTCCTTTACTTTTCTTCCAGATGCTTGCTGGCATAGCATTACGAGAAGTGCAGGCCAACAACAGCTGAGGGGCTGGCCCGTTTTGCATTTTAGGATCTCATTGGTTTGGCAATGAAATGGTTATACTCACTCCACAAGCTGCAAGCCAGCAACGTAAAAGCAGTAGTGGGTGGGTGTACGAGAAGTATCAGAAATGACTCATTCAATGGTAAGAAACTACCTACAACTCTGACCGAAAAGTCCCAACAACGAGATTACCTCAGTAAGTTAAACAGCACATGTTTTTAAAGCTCAGTCTGCTTGCTAATGTCTGAACACAGCTATGTTAGCAAAGCAAGAGACTCTATGTAGCTGACATCTAACCATTAGAAAGAGGAAGTCACTAATACGTGCATAGAAAAATGGGAGAACTAACAAAAAATAATAGGCATTCACACACAAAAATTCTGAAATTCCTACCTTTTTTATTTTATTTGAAAACATGTTTTATAACAAGGTTTATGAGCATATGAGCAGATCTCCAACATTTCCATAATGGAGGCTGCACGAGTTCGCTTTAACCTTAGAAAGCCTTTTAAACACTATAAAAAGTATGACAGGAGTGGAATTTAGTCCCTGGCTAGATAGTAATGGAATGCTACTAACAAACTCAAGTGGTGAAGATAAAGACATAGCTGGGTCACCATGTTGGTAACAGAATATACCTATTGCTATGGCTTTACATGCGAACATTGCAAGTGCTTAGTTTGAAAAATAATGTTAGGGTAAAAGAAAGATATGTTTATGGGGTAAATATTTGTAATCAAAATTCTTGGGCTCTATAGATTTATAGAAAGTACTGGGAAAATGCCCTTTTTAAGTTTGTATATTTTACTAAGAATGTCTTAAAGGAACAATGTAGGCACCATAACCACTCTAAGAGACTGTGGTGGTTATGGTGCCGGCAGTGTCCTTTTACGTCCAAGCAGTACAGTGGGTGAGGTGACTGATTTGTATAAAAGAGTACAGAAACACAGTTATGGACTGTACATGCTTTAACAAATGTATATGATTCCATAGTGCCTCCCAAACCGGAGTGACAAAATTCCTTTTCAATGGATAAGATAAGAATAGATCTCTGTCTGTGCTCGGTTGTCTTTTTCAACTATGGGTGAACAGAGTAATGACTATAATTTATTATTTTAATCTAAATGTTCTGGAGATTGATGGTTAGAGAAAAAAAAAAAAAAAAAAAAAACTTACCACGGGTGTGAGAGCCATCTGGCAGCTGTAAATCCTTGCCAGGCCAAAGTCGGCCAGTTTGACCTGCCCTGCACTCGTCACCAGTATGTTCTCTGGCTTCAGGTCACGGTGCACAATACAGTTCAAGTGAAGAAATTCCAAGCCGCAGAGAAATTGCTTCATTAGGTCCTGAAAAGTCAAAACAATCCTTCCATGTAAATTCGATACGCAAAATGCACTTTCCCTGGATAATTCCATTAATATACCTGAAGAAGCAATATGACAGCTTCACATACAGATAAACGCAACCACAAATATAAACTCTCTGTTGGTATTTTTCACCATTTCCATTTTTGCTGTGTGCTTATTTCCCATAATGCTAAGCCTTCTTTTTTGGCAGACTAATGATCATCACAAATGCAGTACACAGTGTCTGAAGAGTCAAAGACTAGCGATTGCTGCTCTTTATAAAAATGGCAGCCTGATGGTTAACTGTCAGTATTAAGCTGTCTATTCATGTTGGTAGCCAATCAGTGTGCAGAATTCAGGATAAATGTAACTAAAAGTTAATCTATGTTATTCCACCTCAGAATTGTCCAGGTGGTCACTAAAACCAGCATGAGGGCCCAAGAGCAATTTTTTTTCTCTTCTTTATAAAGCCAGTTGCATCCTCATTTGAGTTAGTTGAAGTGTGTAAAGACTTCCTAGCACTGTTGATTGACCCCTGATGCAAACCTGCATTTATTGAATGCCTATTTGTCAGCCCCAAATAGCATTTATATTTACAATATCAGACATGTTATTGGAAGACACTTTGATCACCCCACTCATCACAATGTTAAAACTGCCCAGAATTAGTTAAGGAACAGCAGATACCTTAATTGTATCCAGAGGCAGGCCAGGAGAAGGAACTTTCTTCAAGTAAGTCTTTAAGTCCTGATCCACATGTTCAAAAACTAGAGTTACTTTTGTCTCGCGGTCTGTCCGGGCAGAGGCACAGACATCCATTAACCTGGAAAAAACAATATTAGATATGTTATAGATACAAATGCTATAAAATTATTGTAAATAAATGTCACGCACTCAAGCTGATCTCATTCACTGTATTTCCTAAAAGCAGCTCTACTGACTCATTAAAGTAACACTCCAAGTACCATAACAACCAATCCATTTTAGAACGGTTTGACGCCACTCCCAGCCTCCATTAGCGCTTAGTGAGTGCTGAGCTGTACACGAGGCAGGTAGAGGCGCACATGTAAGAATTCAAACAATTTTAAAACAGTTTGACTCCTGGCACCGTAACCGTAACTATAAAACGCTGTAGTGACTATATGGTAGAAAAAAAACGAAACTTTTTTTAATGATCAATAGCATCAAGGAATGACCAGAAGTGGCTGGTTTCTGTTGAACACTTGAAAAGGATCAGACCCTGGAGATATGCTTCTATATATTGAAATTCAAAGGTGTCTTATTTTATGCCCTTTCAATGTACCAGCAATATTTAATGCAATAAACAAAAAGAGTTATTTCAACCCGGGCCTTCTAAAATATAGAAGCCAATTGACATTCCGATACGGCCATTGTGATATTAAGGCTTATTTACAAAAAGTGGTGAACTATAAATTAAAGCACAAATGTATGCCAGTATGTCAGAATAACTTGGAAAAAGGATGGACTTGAAGGGTTTCACAATCTCAGCTACTCTGGCCTAATAAAATCAGTTTGCTTTTACTGATAATTTCTTCTTTATGTGTTGGATATAAAAGGAAGTAGAGGGGCGATTATTCTGAAGGTGCAGTATCCCTATCACATAACTATATAAGAAACATGGCTGAGGTCTTGATATTTAAATGTGTAAAAAAAAAAAAAATGAACAAACAAAAACCACAAACTTTGACATTTTTGAAGGAACACTCCAAACACTTCAGCTGTGTTCATATTCTAAAAGTGTTCATTTTAATAACTGCACACACGGCAGGTCTGCAAGGCTGTGAAGCCTCGGCCTTGTTATTCACAGAGACGAGAAGCATTTTGCAACCCAAGATGTCATATCCCCGCAGAAAAAAACCTGAATTAATAGTTCCTAAACATTTTTGATAGGGACTCATATAATGTAATGTACTTGGCACTAGCTGGTGATGCAATCTTTAATTCTAATGTAATGTGTGGTATAACCGAAGTGAAGCACTTTTATTAGACTATTCCCAGCGTCGAAAGCTGCTACAGTAATCAGTACAAAGTGCGCAGGACCAACACCATGTTCATTTTCCAATTACTAGGGTCCCAATAAAATGGCATTTGGATCCGCCCCAGAAATTAAAGCAGCACTATAGGGTAAAACTGACCCTTCAATGTTTTAATGCAACATACACATAATGCATTAGATATAATACAAATAATTCAAAGTTATGTTTTAATCATTGCATTTTTCGTGGGAATAGTTTTCTCTTCATTTTGTTTCACTCTACAAGCAGATAGCAGACATGACTGCTACCAGTGTAAACATGGTCTGGTTCACAGTTTAGTGAACAGGACTATATGAGGCTATCACAGAGAGAAGGTCCTCACATGCACAGTCTGCGGCTCGGCTCTGTCTACTGAGAAAAGTGAACTCAAAAAACACAGAATTCACAGCTGGACACAATTAACACACACAGCCCCGAACAAACTGAATTCTATGATGGACAGGCAAAGAGTTGCAGACATTTTACAAACTGTAGGTTATTCTGAAAGTACATGCAGGGTACTATTGTGATGATGCTTAGAGTGACCCTTTAAGAACCGCAATTTTTCTCTCTCTTTAAATCTTTCTGTTACTGTATATCGCTCGCCATTCTCCAGAAACACTAAGGAGCCATTGTGACTCTCTATTGGTATCCAACTCAGAATAATTAATAGCAATGAGAGGCTATCTGTTCTGCCACAAAGATTACTTATGAAAGAAATTCAAAATCAACCCAAAGGGCTCATGTCTCATGAATTTCCTATTCATAACTTGTAATAAAGAAATACTTTCTTTTATCAAGCTACTAATGAATAAAAAACAGAAGTTGCATTTAGTATGTCATGAATGAGCTAACAATGTACAACAAGGGACAACTAGGTTTTCCGTGAATTGTGCCAAATCATGGTCAGTTGCTGGTGAGCATTTAACCGAACTACATATAGCATTTAATACTTGCCAGCAGTGTCCCTCCAAGCACTATGACCACTTCAACGATTTAAAGTCATGTTGCCTGGAGTCTGTATGAGCAGTGTTTAAACCTTCTGCTGCCAGAGTTGTAACTCAGAGCATCAAGAGTTCTGGGCTGGCTAACATAAATTTTGTGCAATATTGGTGTCTGACACCAGCACACTTGCGCCACACAGCCAATCGTGGCACGGTTCTCCCCTCTGTTTTATTTTGAGTTGGTGGGCAGACCACCACAGAAAGGGTTATTCCAAGCAGAAATTTCTCTGATAAGGCAATGTTTACATTAAAAGGCCTGCTGGGGCAGGCTATAGACACCAAAACAACTGCATTAAAGGACCACTCTAGGCACCCAGACCACTTCAGCTTAATGAAGTGGTCTGGGTGCCAGGTCCAGCTAGGGTTAACCCTTTTTTCTATAAACATAGCAGTTTAGGAGAGCGCCCCGCCCAGCGCTGGAAAAAGGTAAGTTTAAACCCCTTTCCCCCTTCCAGAGCCGGGCGGGAGGGGGTCCCCGAGGGTGGGGGCACCCTCAGGGCACTATAGTGCCAGGAAAACTAGTATGTTTTCCTGGCACTATAGTGGTCCTTTAAGCTGTAGTTGTTCTGGTTACTATAGTGTCCCTTTAAGGACCTTAAAACATGCATCACAACGCAACAGCAATGATTAATGACTGTTAGCTCTTTGCATCCATAGAACACACACTGTGCATATTTCACAGCATAACAAATTCACTGCAGCTGGACACTTGAAGAATCTCCTAAAACAGCAGAAACATGTTGTCGATTAATAAAAATAAATAAATAGTGTGATTTCTCTATACAATACCAAAAGTGCTAAATCAGAGCAAGTTTCCAGGACAATAACCACATGTGGAATTATGGAACAAATTCCCAAGAACAACTTTTATATCTTTCTGGTTTGTGGGAGCAATCCATCTCTCTCATGAAAGTTAAAAACTGGTAAAGAGTGCAGAAGAGCTGGATAATCATATTTAGTAAAGAAAAAAATTGAAAAAGAAATTAGCAAAGAGCTAATGTGGATCAATCTGCAGATCGATTACTGCATACTGCCCATTTATTTTCATTTAAATGTGGATAAACATGCCAGCAGTGATAGTCATAACTCCTAGGTTTTTTTTGGGGGGGCAGGGGTCAAGTTGTGCAGTTGCCCGTCAGCTGCATCTGCTGAACCCCAAGGACCTCAAAACCATGATAACGCCACTAGTACTAGTCGTGGCTAAGACAGTAGTATGCCAGGGAACCTTTTCACCCCTATACACCATAGAAAACCATGCATAACACACAATTAAAAGGGGGCACTATAACATGCAAAAGCCTTAAACAACGCACATCCTTCAGACTTCTCACAATGGTCCACAGATCCCGCCATAATCATGGAGTGCAGTATCTATAGGGTACATATTTATCAAATATCCACTCATCATCTTAGGTCATCCTCATGGTACAATAGTACAAAGACAACAAAACAACATATAATTGATTATGGAATGCTTCTCACTGGACATGAAAAATTAGTACCATCCCATATTTCAGAATAAAAAGTAAAGACCCGACTCTCAAATGTGACTTTCTCCCACTCTCGTTTCAGTTCTTCTTTTTTTTTACTTTTATCACTGTTTTGTACTTTTTTAAGTTGTCTCAAAGTTTCAAAAAAACCACAGAAGGAGGGCCTCCTCTGTTTGAGCACTACACACATTCATCCATTGTAACACAGACGTTGGGTATGTATGTGATGTGATAAAGCATATATAACAATTTTATTCTGCTTTTGTAATAACCTGCCATTTGCATTTTCTCAATGTTGAAACCTGGAGCAAGATAATCAGATCTGTAGGCTGTTTTCTACAGATAAATGGTCCTCTGGCGTAGTATGGCTTTGCATTGACAGCTAGATTGAGCAACATGACAAAAGCAGGTTTGCTAAACAGACAAGAGATGGGGAGAACTCTTGCCACAGGAAAACAGCTGTCATCTGCAGAAGATAACACAAATTGTAACCAATAGTTGCTGGGCTTGTCTCTATATTTCAGCTTCACTTTTAACCCATTCATTTAAGGAGCAGCCTGCACAGCTGTAAATAAGGCCTCAAGAAGGTTTATTGTTTTACAGCCACATATTTGAGAAAAAGAACCATGGCTGGCAATTCTGAACATAAAAATTGATCAAATATTAGTTATGTCCATTACTCCTTAACACGTGCTGTCTGTTTGACAATACTGGTTGCCATTCTCTATAGAAGGAAGTCTGTGTTTTGTCTCATTTCAGGCCCAGATCTTTTTTTATTCTTCCCCAGATACTGTTAAACTTTTTTTCTTTTTTTCTGTCTGTGATATGGCTTGTATTTTTTTTTAAATCAATCAAATGTTAAAGTAAAAATGTTTTAGTGGTTTATGTGGACTTTTAAAAAGTGTTTAATACAAGGAGAGTGCTGTGGGTGCTACTCTGCTAGCCTCTGTAAATGTCATTAAATGTCACAGACAGTAACACGAAGGAATGAACACAACCATCCAATGCTATAGAATGAGTCTATTCTTTGTTTAACCCCTTGAGTGACAATAATCTCTGTATAGTACTAACTTCCCCTTAGGCCTTCAATGTGTCAACCTCCCCCCACTAAACAAAAACCATAGTTTAGTAAACTGCAGCAAACGCAAACAGTAACAGCTCAACAAACGTGCTGATTTATGTTGAAAATCAACACTTTTATAAGTTATCACAAATATGACAGACTCCACCATAAAGCATTTTGGCAAGCTCCTTTAATTAAATTCACCTTGAAAACAGTGTGAGTGTATTTCCCAACATGTTTTGCTGCAAGTTATATAGTTATATTGGTTAAGAAAAGCTAATTACAAATCTAAAAAAATACAAAAAATAGGCACATCCTCCACAAACTGTCTGATGTGAAGGCATCGGAGTTCCCCGCATAGAAGGGACTTTTTATGATTTACTCAGCCAACGCACTCACAGCATCAGCTAGATTATAGTGAACAAAACTATATATTAGGGACATGATTAGCACAGCATTGCTCTGGCACTTGAATTTTAATTGGTGGCTAAGAGCATAAATATACAGTTTCATACTGCCCAGAATTCTTATCTTAAAGGTTGACACCATTACCGCATGATGCGTCACTTTCCTCCTCAGTAAACTTAACGGCCACTAATGTGTACACCAACAATCCAAGGATAACAGGCAGATCAGACACATATATACTATGTACATACATATATATCACTCACATATGGTTTGGGTGTACTCAGAGAAAATTACACTAATGTCTACAGTAACTTCGAAATCTAAATACTAGAACTGTGCAAAAACCTTTCACTAAAGTGGAATTACAAATAGTAATATATATATATATATTTTACATGGATAACGCTAGATCAAATTCATGTCCCAATTGAATGACTGTTGCTTTAGAACACAGTCTAAGTAAGGCAGATAAAACCAGCTATCATATGTTGTGTAGGGAAAAGATTAAGAGTTGCCATGTCAGAGATACACAAAGAAAAACACTTTTCCAAGAACACAACAGCCAAAGGAATAGTTTTTTTTCATGCATTACCTAATACTGTAATAAAAAAACACAAAACAAACCCCGCACAAACTACACTACATACATTTGAGGTCCTGTTGCATCCATCCTATAACTTTAATTGCCTTTTAGGGGCTTACTCCAGTGCCCCTGCGGTATGTAGTCTAGCGCGATGATGAGTAAAGTGTAGCTTAATTCAACCCAATTCTGCCTTCTCCATGATACGACTTTGCGCTACTATGCAGCTTCTTCCTGTTCGCAGCACAGAGGGGACAGGCCAGCATGAAAGCTCATTTAGAGTTAAACTGAAATGGTTAACGCTAAACAAATTGAAAGCACCACAGACAGTCAGCGCTAGGAGCCTCTAAGCAATATAACCACTTCAATTAGATGAATTGGTTACAGTGCCTAGAGTGTCCCTTTAAGGTCACATATTAGGTTAAGATTTTACAGAATTGCCAGAATGTGATCAAAAATCGAAAATGTTTTATCCTAGATAGGCACTGTTATTTAGCTTAATCTATACTTCTTGCTGGCAGTTGCAATGTATAAACCCATGTGAATTGAGCATGCTTTGTGGGTGAAAAATAAGATCTATAAAACGCTTTGACATGGCTCTAGAAAGCCACAGTCTCTCCAGAACTAAATATTAAATATTGTGCTGCAATAGCAGAAGGTCATGTTAAATAATTAAAATGTTTAAACTGCTGAACAGTTTAAAAACAAATACACAGACTGTCTGAACTCCACTGCTGGTCCACAAACTACAAATCCCATGAACCTTTGCTAGCCCGTGGGAAATTTAAGCCTTATGCTCAGCTGATCAGCCACAAAATTCCTAGCCCTGCTTTGAAAAGCAATACGGTTTGCTTGGTTTCTACATAGTTATTCCAACAACTTGAATTCCAAAAGATTGGACATCAGCAACATGAAGCACAGCCTTGAATGTGGGAAACAACACAAAAGGACATGTGCATATTTTTGGTCACCCAGTCATAGCTTTCCAGTTCCTTTCGGGAAACTCAAATTTCACAGGCAGTAGAAAAATAAATTAAATGGAAAGGGAGAACAATCATTACACAGATGGCTTGAGCTGTCTCGTGGACGATGATTTTGACAAAGTTTGGAGAATTCCAATAAGACAATCAATCATATAGGGAGAAGAGCATAATCTTTATTATCGATAAAAAGCCAAAAATGACACTTTCAGAATTGAATATAACATTAAAAATTTAAATTAAAACATACCTGTTTTCCTGGCACTGCAGGACCCTACAGTGCCCCTCTCCCTCCCACCCTCCATCCCATGTTGCTGAAGGGGTTAAAACCCCTTCAGTGACTTATCTGAATCCAGCGGTGCTGGGTCAGGCTCCGCCCACGGTCCTACCCCACCGACGTCACCCGGCAGGGGAAACCTAATGCACATGCGCAGCAATGGCCGCGTGCGTGCGCATTAGACCCTCGGTGCTGGGTCAGGCTCCGCCCATGCTCCTATGTCGGCGGGGGAAACCTAATGCGCATGCATGCGCATTAGACCTTCCCATAGGAAAGCTTTATTCCAGTGATGCTGGAGGTCCTCAAGCATAGCGTGAGGACGTCCAGCGTCGTTTAAAACACTTTTCGTGTTCTAAGAACATGGAAGTCCCTCTAGTGGCTGTCTGATAGCCAGCCAATAGAGGAGGACTTAACCATGCAAGGTAATTATTGCATTTTATAAAAACTGCAATAATTACACTTGCAGGGTTAAGGGTGGTGGGAGTTGACATCCAGACCACTCCAATGGGCAGAAGTGGTCTGGGTGCCTGGAGTGTCCCTTTAAGAACATCGCCCCAGTTATTTCCGTAGTTTCCAAAACCTGCACAGAAACACTTTTCTCTTTATTCTTTTTTCTAGAGTTTTTTTCCATTGGAAATCAACACTCTTATTAATCAGACAGCCAGGGAAGTTTTCTTTATTCTCCCGATAGCTCGACAGAGCTAACAGGAGCTGGACTTCAGTGTGGCTCTGTTTCCCCCTTCTCAATGAGCTATATTACAACTCAATGAGAAACATAGGAAAGCCACAACTGTGTGCATGCTCGCGGCTTCAGCATTGAGGCTTATCAATAAGAAACCTCTAAATGTTGTATCCCCACAAAGACGGAAAAAGGGAACGGCTTGCGAAGGCTGGAGCTTTTGCGAGATATTTGTCCATATACCCTCTCAATAAAACATGCAGAAAAAAATACATGCACGTTTTCTTTGGGGTATATTTACTACATTGTTAATAAAATCTTAAAGTGTTCCTTTAACTCCTAAATGTCAGTGAACTGAGCAGTAATGCTGCAGGGACATTATGTATACACCAAAACTGCTTCATTAACCTAATGTTTTGTTGATTAGAGTATCCCTTTAAGCAAAAAAAAAAAAACAGACAACAAACAAGCAAAACAAAACAGTAACACATGAGACAAGACTTATAAACACACAGAGCCTGAATGTGATTTCATGTCACATAATATGAAATGTCACGATTATTAAAGTGCAGATCAACAAATGAGACTCGGGAAATGTAATGTGTACGTTTCACACAGTGCAAGCGGCTTGTATGGTCGCCTGGTTGGAAAACCCAGAGGAAAAGAGACATGGGAATGAAATAAAACTGAGCAGGTGAATGCATATGTAACAATAATAGCACGCTGACGACACGCTGTCAGCACTAATGTCTATTGTCACTCCTAGACTAAAGACACACGCCCCGGAGATCAAATAAAGGTGATTCATTGATAGTAAGTAGTAATAGGTAAAAAAAAAATCTATTAATGCATTTTCCTTCAAAGATCTGGGGAGAGACAAATACAAAAAGCCCTCACACCCCAAATTCACTTACTTTACAATGTTTGGATGGTCAAAGTGCTCAAGGCGTTTCAGTAAAGCAACTTCCCTCACTGTAGATAGAGGAAGTCCATTTTCATTGGTCTGCACCCGGACATTCTTAAGAGCCACAAACTTCCCACTCTGAAGATCCCGTGCCTTGTACACAGTACCATAGGCTCCGACGCCAATCTCTGCAACCGGTTCATATTGACCTCTCATCTCTTTAGCCATATTGTTACTTCACTCTCCCCTGCAAAAAAAAAAAAAAAAATACATAAATAAATCATCACAACAATTAAATGGCTAAAAAACTCTATTGCACTGAATAACACACTATCAGGTATGTATTTGGATGTGTTAAGGCAGAATTCTGTGCTTTTCAGTAACAACCTGCAGAAAGCGAAAGCAGCACTCTGCAGTCAACCCCCCCCCCCTTTTCATTTAGGGCCCCCACCCACCACTCATGGGTGGGAGGACAATATGTCTCCCCTCCAACCCCCCCATTGTAATTTAGGGCCCCCACGCGCCGTTCAGGGGTGGGGGCTGGGGGGGAAGACAAACGGTCGTCGTCGTCCCCATATTATAATTTAGGGCCCCCAGCCCTTATTGTTGTTTAGGGCTCCCACTCGCTGCTCAGAGGTGGGGACTGGGGGAGTACAAAAGGTCCCCCCCTTATTATAATTTAAGGCCCCAACCTGCCACTCAGGGGTGGGGGCCAGGAGGAGGATGATAGCCCCCCCTCTCATTATCATTTAGGGCCCCAAACCAATTTTGGTCTTTCAGCATTTTGGTAGATAGCTCCCTGATACCGTGAGCATGAATCGGATCAGAATTTAATTCATTAGAATGAAATTCTGATCAGAACAAAGTCCCGAAATGCGTCCTAACATGAATGAACAAACCGTTCTCATTCTGTTAGGACGAAATTCAGTAGTTTCACTGGCGTTCTGTCAAAGTGACAGGACGTTCGGGAATACTGACAGGAACCATCGCGAGATCACGGAGCAAAGGTAAGAATTGTGGGAAAATTGCTTTGACCACAGGAAACGTAGCACACTTTGTTCCTCCGCTGGTCAAGCGTAGGAAACCTCCATAAGACAAAGTAGTCCCTTCTCTGTCTTATATTTTAAAGAAAACTAGAGCAGATAGGAAGAAATGAAGAACAGATCCTGACAGAGGGAGAGAAGAGGAATCGATTAAAGAAAGGTAAGTTTGGCATGACAGTGTCGCTCAACTTCACCTATAACAGGTCCTAAAGGGCTTAAAGGGACACTATAGTCACCAGAACAACCACAGCTTATCCCATTTGTTCTGGTGAGTATAATCATTCCTTTCAAGCTTTCTGCTGTTTTTTTTTTTCAGAGAAAATGCAGTGTTTGCATTACAGCCTATGGATACCTCAACTGGCCACTCCTCAGACTGCCACTAGAGGTGCTTCCTACGGGAAAGCATTGTAATTGGCTCAGCACACCACTTCTGATGATGTCAGCCAAGCAGGCAGATCAGGGGCAGAGCCAGCAACAACAGACTGGAATAAAAGTAAGAGTTTACTATGTTTAGGGGCAAGGGGAGAACCAGGGGGACTAGATGGTGGTTTTAACAAGGTGAGCAATACATGTTTGTGTTCCTGACCCTATAGTGTTCCTTTATATATATATAATTTATTATAACCAATAAATGCTACTGTAGCTCCTACTCGGGTTAGGAATGCAGAAACAAATTAAAACCACTGTCTTCCACAGCACTTCTGGGCCTTCACACAATGCTGCAGGTGTTCATCCACCACCCACTACCTGTAAAAGCTTACGTCTGCTTTGGCATTCCGTCCATAGTGTAACCGATGCAAAGGAGTTAAACTAACTAGAATCGAAGCACTGGGAGCGATATACAAGGCAAGTGAAAAAAACATTTTTAAAAGTGCATTTTTCTAAAATGCCTCGTTCACAGCTGTTACTTAACGATGGGTTTGAGAAAAAAAACTGACAGTGCCACTTTAAGCCCTATTCTAACTAATACCACCAAGTTATACTTGCAGATTTTGAGTGTTTACTCTATACAACAAATGAAGAGTGTCAGAAAGCCATCTTAAAACAGACTGTGATATATATTTATATTTGGTACTGGTACACCATATGGAATGTCCTTGCTTTAATAGAACATTTCTTTGAGCTGAAGCCTGTAACATTGAGAGTTTGTCAGATTTAGTTAGCAAAAGGAAATAATTATGCATTACATGCAGTATTGATACTTCGGGGACTCAGCATTATTTGGTTCTATTTTTAGCAATATTAAGATGCTGCCCGGTAGAGAAAAAAGGAAGAGACAACAATCATTACAACATGATCCAATGAATCTTAAAGGTTAACTTCAAGCACCATTATCACTTCTGCTTTTAGAAGTGGTCATGGTGGCAGGAGTCTGTATGTGCAGCGTTTCTGCTTAAAATGTTGCACATACAGAGAAAACGGCACTTTGGTGCCGGTGGTTTGTTGAACACCGGGCACAAGTGTCTGGGCTACCTAACTTCAATCCTGTGCAAAAATCGCCAGTCTTCAGCGCACTCTACGTGCAGGCGACAGATGTAAAGAGTTTCTTTCTTGCAGGCAGCGTACCTTCAAAAGGGGCACTTCAATGCCTCTTTCTGCCCCCTTTCCTGCCACCCTTTGTTTTGAACATCTATATTATTTTTTATTATTTGTATTAAAGAATTCCTTCCTTCCCCTCATCGGCCCAGAGCCCCTAAGCCAGCAAAAATGTCCAATCACGGAAGACGTGTCGTGACGACAGACAAGGTATGGAAATAAAGCTTGGTGGTGTATTTAAGGTAGATTTCAATCTATTTAATACATTTTTAAATAAAATAGGGGGGCGGAGAAGATTAATAGTGCCCAATGCAACAAAAGGATATTACAAAAAGCGAGAAACAGATTTCACTTTTGGTGAAGGCCAAGATTTTACAGACAAATAGTGAGATGTATAAAATGGGTCAAGCTCTGAAAACTGGTCTAAAGTACTAAATGTGGGGTAATCACCACGGAAACCAGTGAACCCTATAGACTGCAAGCTTGTTTGAGCAGGGCCCTCTTCAACCTATTGTTCCTGTAATTTTTTGTAATTGTCTCATTTATTGTTAAATCTCCCCCTTCGCTAATATTGTTAAGTGCTACGGAATATGCTGGCACTGAATTAATGCACTGAATTAATGCTTCTCTATGAGGAGATGCTGACTGGACAACACAGTGTTTAGCTCCGCCCCCACATCCTTGGAATTGATGATCTCAGCCAATCCAATGCTTTCCTATTTTAAATTCACTTAGAATTTTCACTGAAGGTGCAGTTGGATTTCAGCAGTTTTGTCCACCTAGCTATCTACCGTCCAGTAAGTTAACCTTGGCTACACAGCAGTTGAATACCTCCTTGAAAATTACTTCACATTTTTGCTTACAGTTTACTCATGAGTTATTTGGATGATCTGTCCATGTTGTTGACTTGGTTACCGATAGAAATTATTACTCCTGCATGGAACAATGAGGGGGCTCAAGTTGCAATGAATAGTATGAAAAAAAAGTGAAATTCAGTGAAGCTGAGCTGAGGGCACTGGTAGATAGACTGCCAGCATTTCCAAAGACTTTTTTGAAAGTATGCTGAATGCCTCTGGATGATGGGTGTTAAAGGCTTCCTGCTATCAATGGATGTGGATAGATGGCTGGGCTAAGGAATGTGTATGTCTGGCTGGGGCTAATGAATATGGATGTGTGGCTGGGGCTAATGCATGTAGATTGTAAGCTCTTTTAAAACAATGTCCTCATTAACATATTGTTCCTGTATCATTTTGTAATTGTTAAATTTCCCCCTTTATAATACTGTAAAGCATTGCGGAATACGTTGGTGCTACATAAACGATTATAATAATAATAATAATGTGCTCTTTACCTTTTACTACAGCAATGGCATGTAGGATATTGTATGAGAAGAGAATTTACTCAACTTTTAATCGCATTTTTCAAGTAAAAGAAGTCAATGAAAATCAGCATACCAGATTTTTGAAAGCAAAATTAAACTTTTGCTCGGTATGTACTCTGAAAATCTGAGTAAGAAATATTTGAGTAAAAAGAACACGGAAATACTTACAATATCTAAATACCATTTTTGAGCAAAAATTACTTAAAGGACCACTATAGGCACCCAGACCACTTCAGCTTAATGAAGTGGTCTGCGTGCCATGTTCAGCTAGGTTTAACCCTTTTTTTTTATATAAACATAGCAGTTTCAGAGAAACCGCTATGTTTACATTAGGTTTAATCCAGCCTCTAGTGGCCGTCTCATTGACAGCCGCTAGAGGCGCTTGTGTTCTTCTCACTGTGATTGTCACAGTGAGAAGACGCCAGCGTCCATGGGAAAGCATTGAGAATGCTTTTCTATGTACTGGCTGAATGCGCGAGAGGCTCTTGCGGGGAGGGAGGAAAGGAGGAGCAGGAGAGCTGGAGAAAGAGGTAAGTTTAAACCCTTTCTCCCCCCAGAGTATTTTTTCCTGGCACTATAGTGGTCCTTTAAATTATTTATGCTGAAAACGTGATTTGTACTTCAAGATGTAAATAAGATCCTGTATGTCTTCTGGCTGAGCTTGACGTGCATTTATAATTAAGAGCTGCTCGAGAGGTTGGCATTGTTAAAGAGTTACTCCAAGCGCCATGACCACTTCAGATTGGAAGTGGTCAGAGTGCCTCAAGCCTGTGTGTGCAGCGTTTCACTACCTCTCTTCTACCGGAGGGTCTAGGCTGGCTAATGTCAATTCTGTGCAATATTGGAGAGTGGTCAGCTGACACTCTCAGCCAATGAAATATGACGGTCACAACTGTGCAGAAGCCAGAACTTCATCACCGGGCAAACTAAACTGTTTGCCCCATTACAAGGGAACCACAATGGGGTACACCTGGCATCATAACCACTACAGAGTGTTGTAGTGATTGTAATGATAGGGGTAATTCTTAAACTTGCACACTGGATTGTATGAATGTCAGAAAATTGTACACCGAACTGTGCAATTAAGATAAATGCCTTTTTGAAAAAACAAAACAAAAAAAACCCTCTATAGTCACAGCTTGGCAATTTGTAGTTTTTAGTACAATAAGTCATTTAGCCAGGTTTGTGTTGTATCGTTTTTCTTATTGATCTGTCATTAAAGGACCACTATAGTGCCAGGAAAACATACTAGTTTTCCTGGCTCTATAGGGTGCTTGGGTCCCCCTCACCCTCTGGATTCCCTTCCCGCCGGGCTCTAGGGGGAGGAAGGGGTTAATCCCTTACCTTTCTCCAGTGCCAGGCTCCCTCGGCGCTGGGGACTCTCCTCCTCCTTTCCCGTCATCGGCTGAATGCGCATGTGCGGCATGAGCCACGCGCGCATTCAGCCAGTCTCAAAAGAAAGCATTCTCAATGCTTTCCTATGGACGCTGGCGTCTTCTCAATGAGACAGTCACTAGAGGCTGGATTAACCCATTTGAAAACATAGCAGTTTCTCTGAAACTGCTATGTTTACAGCAGGCAGGGTTAATCCTAGAGGGACCTGGCACCCAGACCACTTCATTAAGCTGAATTGGTCTGGGTGCCTATAGTCGTCCTTAACCCCTTAAGGACCAAACTTCAGGAATAAAAGGGAATCATGACATGTCATGTGTCCTTAAGGGGTTAATAAACTTATCACATACCACTAATAATCCTGAAACAATGCAAGCCAGTTTAGTGATTTATAAACACATATTATAAACATGATGCATTTGTTTATAAGTATACTTTACTCTTAAAACTAAAAATATAATAGCAGAAGTAAGACAGCAACAATTCCACTACAGAACTTTATCTGAGTGCTCTAAATTTTATCTTACACAGTTAGTTAGTTGTGTAACACATGACTATTATCCCACCCCAATAGCATATAGTTATGGCTACTAACTACAGCTCTGACCTGTTGGAGTTGGGGGTTGAGGAGGGGGTTAAAGTGCACAAAAAGTCTAGTAATGAGAAAGCAGCTCTGAAATGGACATTTGTATTTCGAGAAAATGGAGAGATAGAGTCGCCTTGTAAAATATTCATGGTATTTATTGTGCAGGAAATAGCTGTTTTCAATTTCCCATCAAGATAGTCCTCCCCGGAAATCTACTTGGCTCTAGGGTTCCTTTAGATAATGCGAAAACTGAGGATTCCACGTGGTGGCAGTGTGATGCGATAAATCCTTTGTGCTTCGCCCATGTGCCATCCTTTAATGAATGAAGCGAAGGGGAACTCCCTGCATCCTGCTAGGAATGAATCAACTAACATTCTCTATACCCCTTTATTCTCCCCTCCCCTTCCTGCAAGGACATTTTACACTTTCTCATTAGGTCAAAGCCCGGAGTTAGTTTTTTTCAGGAATGAAAACTAAGTAAACAAAACTAGCAATGTTGCATGATTTGCAAGATTGTTTTTTAATTATTATATTCAATTTCTTGCCTTCTACCAACTTTATGCATTTAACTTCAAAAAGATCATCGATATATCGGGGGACGTTCAGAGTCGTTCAAAGTCAGACTGCGACACAGCAGAAACATCTGTTTAAAGGGGCTTTCCTCAAATACTGATTTAGTTCAGACAACCGATCACTTATGAGAGGGTGAAGCCCATCCCTTCTGTCCCATTCAAACTACCACCCTGTGCTGTGCCCCCACCAACATTGTCACTGAGGCCATTGTAAAGTTACCCAAAATAAAGAAAACATGGATTTTTTATTTTTACTTAAAAAAAGACACAGAAAAAAGCAATACGAAATACACATATCCTCCAAATTTGGCTGCAGATCACATATCCTGCCTAATAATAATATTAATACAACAGATGGCTTGCAAATAAACAGCTAAGCTTCCATTAGAATCCTCACTGTAAATGACTAACAATGTATCCAGGGGATTAACTCTTACCTGGGTAGATCCCTTGTTAGCAGTCAGTGAGCAGCCATACCATGTCGATTGTGTTTTGTAATAAGCCAGTGTCCACTTATCTGCGTCCAGTTCACATGCTCTAAGTCACTTCAGTTTGTTGAAGATCCACTTCCTGCAGTCGTCACTCCCACTCAAAGTGCATGGAGCTGGTCTCTCCCCCTCCTTCTCCTCCTTCTGATATTACGTAACCAGCATCTAGAAAAGACTTAATTGTCATTATAATTGGTTTCCAATACTGTATGGTAACAAAATTCATTTAAAGTTCAGCTACTGTAATAATTGACTTTCTTTTTTTTACATTTATTTTTAGGATCATTGTGTTTATTAAAACATTATAAATGTGTCATGTATCAAATTTTATTTAAAAAAAAAAAACTAATAATATTAAGGTTTTATTATTAAATTTGGTTTGGAACTTCTCAAGCCACCTTTGAATAGACTTAATTTTGCCCTGAGTTGGCACCCAACTGCAATGGTCCCAATATGGCCCAGAACTTTGGATGATAGAATAAAGTCTCAGACATTTCCTGATTAACTTCAAAATTTTATAATAAAAGTCACGCTCACTGGAGTGCAGGGGATTAAAAAAAAAAAGATTGCTTTTAAAAAGCAAGATGGTGTCCTCAATTAGCTTACAGATCGGAGAGAGACTTGGCAATTGTGGCAAGTTAAATTTCCCAGCAATTACCTTTTGGTTAATAGGAAGTTTACGAGACACCCTTTCTTATTTTATTATATTTAATTAAGTTTAGTTTTTTGTTTTTTTTAACAAACAGCCAATAAATGTTTATTGATTTTTTTCTCCTATGGATATGACTGCAAAACAGTAGGCATTCTGAATTCTCAATATGTTATTTATTATTTTGATGGATAAACGTCCAAATTCCTCTACTATGTACTTAGCAGACTCCAGACTTTGACCAGGGATTTTCAAATTCTAGGTTAAAACAGCCTCACCGGTAGAAATTTCCAACTCATCTATGTTTCCAGCTTTTCTGGCTACTTTGGTCAGATCCCCGATAATTATAATTTTAGAGAAAAATCCCCAGAACTTCAGTATTTGTGAATACCAGGATTTGACTCAAAAATGCATCTTGGGCATTTATATACTACAGGCAGATTTGACCCTCATTTAAAAAGGTTTTTTAAATTTGCTTTAAAGTATATTGCTCTTTGCAAATAAAATATTTTTTATACATTGAGAGACCTGTTTGGGAAATGTAACTTGCCAGATTTTTTGTAGCTCTATTACCACCTTACTCAAATGATTTATTTATTTATTTATTCATTACTGCCATTTATAAAGCGCCAATGTTTTCCACAGCGCTGGATGCTCAAATGATGCTCTACATTTTGACATATCAAATGCATCTTTTTGATCACAGATCTATTGTAGCCATATAACCCATATAAAAGGTTTGAAATTAGGCCTTCCATATTGCTGTTGTAACGAAGTTCACTAAGGTATACTTTGGTTCCCAACCTTTTTTTACTTGAGTACCCCTTGGCAACCCATTTCCATAAATTGTACCCCTCCCATTAACAAAATGTTTGTAATTAATTTAGTTGCATTTATTTCAAATGCATAAATTTTTCTCTGTCCCATATCCCCTTTTTCTCTGCCCTAGGCTCTCCCTGCTTCTTCTCCGCCCCAGGCTTTCCTTGCTTCTCCTCTGCCCCAGGCTCTCTCTGTTTCTCCTCTGTCCCAAGCTCCCCCTGCTATCCCTCTGCCCCATACACACAAACTGTCACACATGCAGACACACATACACAAACACCGACACACATACAGATACACACACCTGCAGATACACTGTTGCAAACACTGACACACATGCAGATACACACACTGACATACATACAGGTACAGATGTACAGACATAATGATACACAAACATACAGATAAAAACACTGACATACATACACAGACACAAAAACATTCATACAGATACACTGATACAAACACTGACACACATACAAATACAGACAAAATAAAACAGACACACATGCAGACACACAGATACACAATGACACACATTCAGGTACACAGGTACATACCCTGACACATATGCAGATACAGTGAAACACACATACATACACAGACACAGATACATACACTGACAAACACAGATACACACAATGACAAACAGATACATACACTGACACACATACAGACATAGATGCCCACACAGACATACAGATTCAGACACTGACACACCCTGACACACAGATACACACCCTGAAACACAGACACACTGACACGGAGATACATACCCTGACACGCATACAGATACACAGACACAACGATACACTGACACACTTAAAGATACACACCCTGACACACTGATACAGACCTTGACACACATGCAGATACACAGACACATAGATACATACCCTGACACACTGACAAACAGGGGTGCAGTGTTTGTGTGTGTGCAGGGTGCTCTGTCTGTGTGTGTAAGGAGTGCTGTGTCTGTGAGGGGTGCCATGTGTGCGAGGAGTGCTCTGTGTGTGTGTGTGTGTGTGTGAGGGGTGCTCTGTGTGTGTGTGTGTGTGTGTGTGAGCAGTGCTCTGTGTGAGTGGTGCTGTGTGTGTGAGGGGTGCTCTGTCTCTGTGTGTGAATAAGCGGTACTGTGTGTGTGAGGGGTGTTTGTTTGTGTGAGGGGCGCTGTGTGTCTGTGTGCTGTGAGGGGGTTCTCTGTGTTTGTGAGGGGTGCTCTGTCTGTGTGAGGGATGCTGTGTGTGTGAGAGGGATGCTGTGTTCGCGAGGGGTGCTGTTTGTGTTTGTGTGTGTGTGAGGGGTGCTCTGTCTGTGTATTTGTGTGTGTGAGGAGTGCTCTGTGTATGAGAGGGGGGATGTGTTTGTGTGTGTGATGGGTGCTGTGTTTGAGTAATACTCTGTGTGTGTGTGAGGGGTGCTGTGTTTGTGAGGTGTGCTGTGAGTGAGGGGTGTTTGTATGTGTGTTTGTGTGCTGTGTGTGAGGGGTGTTTGTGTGTGTGAGGGGTGATGTGTTTGTAAGGTGTGCTATGTGTGAGGGGTTTTTGTGTGTGTGAGGGGTGCTGTGTGTGAGGTGTGTTTATGTGTGTGAGGGGTGCTTTGGGTGTTTGTGAGGGGTGCTGTGTGTGGTTGATGGGTATCGTGTTTGTGTGTGACTGTGTGGGTCTATATATTGGGGGTTGGGGGGATTAGTGGTAATTAATCTATTTTTTTTATTACTATTTAAAAAAATAAAATAAGAAAAAGCATAAATAACCTTTATGTCCCCTCTCCCCTCTGCTTACCTTTTCCTCAGGGAGAGGGGACATTGCCCTGGTGGTCAGGTGGAGATGAGCAAGACTAGTCTGCCTGCTGCTCCTCTGGCTGCAGGCAGAGTCCAGTCCTCTCGCGGTAACCCACGGCAACGCTCTGTATTGCCCAGTTCGTGGGAGGAACCTTCTGCCTCTCGGCTCCTCCTTCCCTCCCTCCCTCTCATGCAGGCCGCCTGCATGAGAGGGAGGGAAGTGGGCCAGTGAGGGAGTTCTTTGATTTCCCCACCGGCCCATGAAGGCACACACAGCAGGGCCGGCGCTCGGATAGCGCTGGCTCTGCATGAGCTTGCAGGGGAGTTCCTGTGATTTCCCCTGCTGGCACATGGCCATCGCGGCTCACCAGGCATTTGTTGGGAACCCCTGCTTTAGAGGATATTTTGGTGGTTATATTATGTGCTGAATTCTGCATTCTATTGATATACTTTCCGGTTAATAAATATTTCTTATAACTAATATTGAACAAAAATACATGAATAAATGGGGAACATGGTTCTCTTAAACTGGCACTGTCTTGCCCAGCTTATCTTTCTCCTATTGTTTCCTCTTCTCTTTTTATATTAGAATCTATTCTTCTTTCTTTATTTCTGATCTAGTTTATCTATTCAGATACATCTGATTGAAAATGAAACCAGATTTTTTTTCATGCAGGCTGTGTGAATCACAGCCAGGGCAGGTGTTGTTAGGGGTGCATAAACAGAGACAACGTTTTTTAACTCCTAAATGGAAGGGAATTGAGCAGTGAAACTTCAGAGGCATGAAATATGCACAGAAACTGCTTTGTTAAGCTAAAGTTGTATTGGTGACCATAGTGTTCCTTTAAAACATAAGACAAAGTGAGGGACTACTTTGTCTTATGTATTTTTCCTACGATTTACTTTATTTGACCAAAGGAGGAGCTTATGTCCGCTCCATTTCCTGTGTTGATCAGGGTGAGTACTATCTCTGACACAGGAAATGGAGCAGACCTAAGAATACAAATCTGTATTCCTAACACTATAGTGCACTCTGACCACCCCCTCCCTTTCGCCGCCCACCTCCCAATAGCAGATAAAGGGTGTAAAAACCCTTTATTTACTCACCCGATTCCAGCGCAGATGTCCCTCCATGCTTGGTCGTATTCCGCCTTCTCTAATGCGCATTAGGCCCTCCCCATAGGAACGTATTGCCTCAATGCTTTTCTATAAGGTTTTATAGAAAAGCATGCATAGTGTGAGGACGTCCAGCGTCGTGTAAGGCACTCAGAGTCCGCTAGAATCCAGGAAGTGCCTCTTGTGGATATCTGATAGACAGCCACTAGAGGCAGTATTAGTCCTGCAATGTAATTATTGCAGTTTCTCTAAAACTGCCATGTTTCACTGCCATGTTTTTTTTGAGATGAAGTGGTCTGGGTGACTATAGTATCCCTTTAATGTGTGTTTTATTATTGATTTTAAAATATATATAGCACTTTATACAGGTATTTGCACTCATGATTGAATCACTATTGCATGCAATGTACTGACTGTAAATAAGCACTCCACCCATAGTTTGAAACACTATACAAGAATTTAGACTGTGACATGATTATATGATATGATATTATTTTTTAAGACATGCCTAGAACTTTAACACCATTATGCAAGTTCCATTCTTGGGTAGAATGGGGTCTTCTGGGTTCACATTTATTTTGAAACTCATTTGAATAATTCTGTGGCAGTTTTGAAAAAAGAGAGGATATTAAATAGATACTTCCCTGCCCAAACACAAGTTTAAATAAAACAAAAAACACTGTTTAGTAGTTATACCCTCAATGAAAGGTATGCATTTAATTATGCATTTTTACATTGAGCTATATCTAAAACAGCTTGCAAAGGCTGCAGATATTTTATCTGCAGTCTTTGCAAGCCCTCCCCTTCTTCAGCAGCCCAGACGTCCTGTGTCTTTTCAATGACAGACATTACAATGCAGCTCAATGAGAGATCTTTGCAAAGCAGGTGCTCTGAGCAATTGCTGCCTTCTGAGTTTAGCTCCACAGAGCTAACCAACCAGGAAGTAACAGGCCTGGCTGTCTAATTGACAGCCAGAGGGGTTTAACACGGTTCATTTATAAAACTGACGGTTTATTTTGCGGTACTTTTTGTAAAATTTAAAAAAAAGAGAACACACACTCATCATACATAAAACACTTCGGCAAGCTTTTTCCAAACTGCCCCAGTATCTATGGGATGGTTTTCTATAAATTTACCTTATTAAATTTAGAATTTTGTGATTAAAACAAAGTTCATCTCTAATTTCAAAAGTATCTGGCAATGGAAATTCTAGATTAAAATACATGAAATTAAAATATTTTCCAACTCAAATATATAACGCAATTTGGGTTTTGTGACCTACAATTTGCAATTTGTCAACTCTTCCAAATTCCTGGTGTATTGAATAACTCTGCAAAAGTAGTTCCAGATTAACAGTTCCTGTCTCTCGCTACCATACACCCTGCAAGAGATTGTTTCAGTCAAATAGTGAGTTGCCCTGTTGTGTTTGTGTTACGGTGGAAAGCAGTGCCCAAATGAATTGGTTTTTTCTTGTCCTGGATTTTATTCTCGCGAACACCTTGATAAAGATTTATCATTCCAGTATTGTTTGCTTCTATAATTTGTTGGGTATGGTTTTGAAATTGCCCTCAGAATGTGCAAAAAAATCCCTGCCAGATATGGATACATTATTTCCTGACTAGTTTATGAAAAAAACTGTTTTTGCATTTTTCTGATATAGGTTTCGATTTAATATTTTTGAATAAGCGTTTCAAATGATATTAATTTTTTGGATAAACTTTAAAAAAATATATAACAATACATCCAAACATTTTTAAATATTTTTTCAGACAGGATTAAAACCTCCCTTATCGTAATATAGGGGGTCTTATAGACTTGTAGTGTGATTGTGTCCTCTTTTTTTTCATTTTACAAAAAGTTCACATTTCAATAGAAATTGACACTTTTACAAATAACCTGGTCACACACCAGTGACTTTCAAGCAGACAACAGGTCCTGCTACTTCCTGGTTTGGTTAGTTCGGTGGATCTAACCTCAAGAGGAAGCAATTGCTCAGAGCACCTGCCTTACAAAGACTTCTCATTGAGCTGCATTGGACTGGACAGCCACAGAAAGTCTGGGTGGGGTTAGGACGGCTTGCAAAGGCAGCAGAGAAAACAGGTTTTACAATCTGTTTTTAGATATACTGCCAATGAAAAAATGCACAATTAAATACATGCAAGTTTTTATTTGGAGTGTCGCTTTAAATTGCATGAACAATATGTGTATTATGCAGTCCGAATGACCCCCATATGCAGCCGAATAGTTTTGCCCCATCCGGTACAGGGCCATTCGGACCTTAGTGAATTTAGTGAGTTTTTATTTAGTTTTTAATTAGCCATCGTTTTGATTGTTTCTTGTACCATTACATGCATTGTATTTGTATGATTTAAGTACACTGCAGCTGTTTCTGTTTCAATACAATACAGTTGCAAGAAAAAGTATGTGAACCCTTTGGAATGATATGGATTTCTGCACAAATTGGTCATAAAATGTGATCTGATCATCATCTAAGTCACAACAATAGACAATCACAGTCTGCTTAAAGGACCAATATAGTGCCAGGAAAACACACTAGTTTTCCTGGCACTATAGTGCCCTGAGGGTGCCCCCACCCTCAGGGTCCCCCTCCCGCCTAGCTCTGGAAGGGGGAAAGGGGTAAAAACTTACCTTTTTCCAGCGCTGGGCGGTGAGCTTTCCTCCTCCGTTCCTCCCCGTTGGCTGAATGCGCACGCATGGCAGAAGCTGCGCACGCATTCAACCAGTCACATAGGAAAGCATTATCAATGCTTTCCTATGGACGCTTGCGTGCTCTCACTGTGAAAATCACAGTGAGAATTACGCAAGCGCCTCTAGTGGCTGTCAATGAGACAGCCGCTAGAGGCTTTGGGGGAAGGCTTAACCCATTCATAAACATAGCAGTTTCTCTGAAACTGCTATGTTTATAAAAGAATGGGTTAAGCCTAGCTGGACCTGGCACCCAGACCACTTCATTAAGCTGAAGTGGTCTGGGTGCCTAGAGTGGTCCTTTAAACTAATAACACACAAAGAATGAAATGTTGCCATGTTTTTATTGAACACACCATGTAAACATTCACAGTGCAGGTAGAAAAAGTATGTGAACCCTTGGATTGAACCTCCTTTCGCAGCAATAACCAGGGCCGGACTGGGAATTAAAAGCAGCCGTGGAAAAAAAATATTTACCAGCCCCATAATGCGTCGCGCCAGCATAGTGCGCAGATACAGAGTTAGAACAGATAACTTAAAATTAAAAAATACTTCAACGTAAAAAGCGCACTCATAGGCTTCAAAATAAACAAAAGTGCAGATTTATTTTAAGCAGGCGTGCCTTTGCATGTAATCAATGTTTCAGTCCAACTACCTTGACATATTAAGGAAAGCTTGTTAATGGGACTGAAATGGTGAATGTATGTAGGGCACAACTGAATTTTTTTTTATTTTGAAGTCCTGTGGGTGTGCTATTCACTTTAAATATGTTATTGTGCTGGAGTATGCACCTAGCAACAAGACTGGGCCAATATCTGCTCATTACATATGGTACATATTAATGAAATTTCTCTTTGTATTATGCATATATAAATGTACATTAATATGAGTAAATATAATAGGTATATATATATATATATATATATATCTAATACACACATTAATATACATGTCATATACCAGTGGCGGATCCAGAGCCTGAGCACGGGAGGGGCACTTGTAGATTATTTAAAGAAATATTCCATGCACAATAACCACTACTCCTCTGTGTAGTGGTTATGGTGCCAGGAGTGTCGGCACACCCTCCCAGAGTAAGTAGTCAAACCTTTTAAGAACAGTTTGACAACTTACCTGGAGTCTGCTGGGATATGGGGCTGTAGTAGGGAATAGGAGCAGTGGTGCAATGTGTGAGGGGTGCAATGTGTGTGAAAGGTTCAGTGTGTGGGTGTGGGGGGCAGTGTGTGAATGTGTATGGTGTGTGTGTGGGGGGGCAGTGTGTGAATGTGTATGTTGTGTGTGTGTGGGGGCAGTGTGTGAATGTGTACGGTGTGTATGTGGGCAGTGTGTGTGTGAGCAGTGTGTGTATGGGGCTAGAGTTCACTCCTACTACTGCGACCACCAGGAAGTGGTGAGAGTGAACTCTAGCCCGTAGCTCCAGGGCTAGAGTTCACCCTTGTGAGAGCCGGAGCGTTGCCCCAGGTCCTCTCTTCCTCCCCTGCCGACTGGCTGCACGGTGCCTGTGGAACGGGGAGGGAGATCGGCCGGCAGGGGAAAGCCTTGGGGGGGGACCCATTGCCCCCCCCATCCACCAGTGATATATACTGCCCCTATGTGTGTCTCTTTATCTCCAGCCCCTCTGTGTGCCTTTTTGTCTCCCCCAGTCCCTCTGTATGTTTCTTTCTCCCCCTCACTGCTCCTCTGTGTCAATGTATCCCCTCTCCTTCCCAGTCTCTCTCTTCCCCCTCTGCCTCTTTCTTCCCCTCCCCTTGTGTGTCTCTCTCTCATTTCTCCCTCTTTGTCTCTCTCTTCCCCCTCTGCCTCTTTCACCCCCTTTCCCTGTGTCTCTTCCTCCTCCCCATCTCTCTCCCTCCCCCCTTTCCCTGTGTCTCTCCCCTCCTCCCCATCTCTCTCCCTCCCCTTTTCCCTGTGTCTCTCCCCTCCTCCCCATCTCTTTCCCTCCCCCCTTTCCCTGTGTCTCTCTCCATCTCTCTCCCTCCCCCTTTTCCTGTGTCTCTCCCCCTCCTCCACGTCTCTCTCCCTCCCCCCTTTCCCTGTGTCTCTCCCCATCTCTCTCCTCTCTGTTTTATCCCCCCCCATTTACCTAGAGAAGTCAGGGGCCGCGTTCCAGGCTGGAGCCGCCAGGCCGGGTGGCAGCATCGCCGGTCCGGCGGCACTCCTGTCACTGCTGTTGCTGATGGCTGAAGGAGGAGGAGCAGCCCCCAGGTGCCCCGCCCCAACGGGAAGTTTCCCGGTATCCCGGTGGGCCAGTCCGGCCCTGGCAATAACTTCAACCAAACGTTTCCTGTAGTTGCAAATCAGACGTGCACAATGGTCAGGAGTAATTCTTGACCATTGCTCTTTACAGAACTGTTTCAGTTCAGCAATATTCTTGGGATGTCTGGTGTGAATCGCTTTCTTGAGGTCATGCCACAGCATCTCAATCGGATTGAGGTCAGGACTCTGACTGGGCCACTTCAGAAGGCGTATTTTCTTCTGTTTAAGCCATTCTGTTGTTGATTTACTGTTACTTCTAAACAACTCAACTTTGGTTTCATCTGTGCAACAGAATATTTTGCCAGTACTGCTTTGGAACATCCAGGTGCAAACTGTAAACGTGCAGCAATGTTTTGTTTGGACAGCAGTGGCTTCCTCTGTGGTATCCTCCCATGAAATCCATTCTTGTTTAGTGTTTTACGTATTGTAGATTTGCTAACAGGGATGTTAGCATTTGCCAGTGACTTTTGTAAGTCTTTAGCTGACACTCTAGGATTCTTCTTCACCTCATTGAGCAGTCTGCACTGTGCTCTTGCAGTCATCTTTACAGGACGGCCACTCCTAGGGAGAGTAGCAGCAGTGCTGAACTTTCTCCATTTATAGACAATTTGTCTTACCGTGGACTAATGAACAGTAAGGCTTTTGGAGATACTTTTATAACCCTTTCCAGCTTTTTGCAAGTAGACAATTCTTAATCGTAGGTCTTCTGAGAGTTCTTTTGTGCGAGGCATCATTCACATCAGGCAATGCTTCTTGTGAAAAGCAAACCCAGAACTGGTGTTTGTTTTTTATAGGACAGGGCAGCTGTAACCAACACCTCCAATCTCATCTCATTGATTGGACTCCAGTTGGCTGACATCTCACTCCAATTAGCTCTTGGAGATGTCATTAGTCTAGGGGTTCACATACGTTTTCCACCTGCACTGTGAATGTTTACATGGTGTGTTCAATAAAAACATGGCAACATTCCATTCTTTGTGTGTTATTAGTTTAAGCAGACTGTGATTGTTTATTGTTGTGACTTAGATGATGATCAGATCACATTTTATGACCAATTTGTGCAGAAATCCATATCATTCCAAAGGGTTCACATACTTTTTTCTTGCAACTGTATTTGCATTTCTACAAACTGTGGTTCGTTTTAAAAAATGCAGTTACTGCATTAAAATCTTTTGCCCCATTGTTTCTGTTTCTTAGGCATGCATTATTTTGTTTGTTTGTTTGGGTTTGTTTTGTATGTTGATAACCTTGACAAAAGCACCCTCTGTGAGACAGTTGATATATTGCTGTTGTTTTGGTACATATTAACACATTTTTAAATTTGCATTTAAAAGGGTGAGTGGAACACCTTGTCTTCAGTGTAATGAATGAATGCCTAATCTACTGGATGGATCAGTATGTAAATACATGGAGAAATCAGATATAAGTCCAGCTGGAGTGAGCTTCAGTAAGTTACTGCTGTCATTTTTCTGCCCACAATACAGCTCAACAAGAGCATTATTAATGTGGGGAGCCTTAGTTTTGTCAACCAGTCATTCTATAACGACTCGGCCCATTTGCAGCCATGTTATGTTTTTTGTCACATACATATTGAATTTTCATAATGAATTTCAAACACCGTGGGTTTTGCTAGTTCAAAGACCACATATTTGTATTATGCTTTACACATACACACCACATGTATACATTTGCCAGGTTTAGTGGGAATTTATTGGGTCATGATAGAGATGGGCAATATTTTCTTTGCTAGCTTCCCACCATACTGGTTGTCATCAAATTTTGATGCTGTATCTAACCGTGGCTTAACTGTAACCCTATCCCTGCCCAGTCCTAACCCTATCTAACCCAAACCATTCACTGTTTGGTAGGTTAGTGCATGCGAACCCTAAAAACCCTAACAATTAACTGTTTAGTACACTTCCACCCATGCTGACTGGTCATCCTGGGGGACACTCACATTGCTTACAAGGCCTTGGCTGATGACTGAGATGTCACAATTGCCTGCCTGGAGAGACCTCTATTTAACTCTTATACTATTTCTGTCATAGTAGCAACTAGCTTTTTAAAACCACACCAAAATATCACTGTACAGGGTTCGTCAATAGTCATGAGTTTAAAAAGTAGTTTTGACATACCCTATAAGTCGGCAGTTTTGAAGGGGTTAATAAAAGGCAAGTATTAATTGCAAACTCAACTATCTTAAGGACATTTTTTTTCCCAAACAAGCTCACTTTCCACATTGTAGATGGTGTCCAAACATTCCTCTTTTTTATTTATTTGGCCTCCAAAAAGGAAGGAATACTGTAAAAATAACAACTGCAAAAAAAAAAAACCAAAAAACCCCAAAACCACTCAGTGTTAAATGAATGACTGACAAAATAATTTGATAAAAAATAGATATGTAGTACAAATAAAATATTGAGAAGGGTTAAACAAGCTTGCATAATCCAATAACCAGGTAATATTTAGATAACAAGTTAGCTATGAGTTCTATGTATTTTTTTTCTCTGAAGTTGTCATAGCATAACCACTTATATGATAGAAATGATGAGGTGTTGCTAATTGGCGCATGCAGCAGTTTGCCACGCATGTGCAATTACCTCTCAATGCTTTCCTAAAAGATCATCAAACTTTGATCTTAGTCAAGATGGTGGGGCCAGCTGTGACAAGGCTAGCGTGACTCTGGAAAAAAGGTAAGTAAAACCACTGGGGGCTGGTCATCTTAACATCAATTTTCCAAGTACAGCATCAGGAATACATGTTTGTATTCCTGACAATATAGGGTTCCTTTAAGTTTAGTGTTAGGGTACATTGTGTGTTCTATGCTTAAGATTAGTTAAACCAAGGAGGAAAATAAAGGGTTTTGTTTCAGGTTTAGGCATTGAGTGCTTACATTTTAAATTGTTAAAATTGAGGCAAAAGGAAAATAGTGTTTAGTGTACAGTCATGTGGAGTTTGAAGGGTTATATGCAAAATACCCACCTTCCCATGATGGGTAGTAGAATGGCAGGGACTCTTATACAGAGTGCTTCACTCAATGCCGAAGAAGATAGAGCATTGGCCATGGTGAGACTTTGTTGCAATCTTTCAGACATGATGACTCATTAGAATAGGTTTCATGGCAAGTTGGAGTGACGTCATCTGGTTCTGAACACCCTTAGCTCTGTAATGATCTGATTACTACATACTGTGTGTCTCTTGTGAAGAAAATAGACTTTTCATTTGAGACTTTGTAAGGCCATTCGATACTTTTATGTTTTGTTAGTTCAGTAGATGAAACTACTGAACACCGACCACCCCCTGGCTCATTATCTACAAAGGAAACTGTTGATTGAGCGCCCTCTCTGGGTGGCCGCCGTTCGTATAGACGAATGCCACGTCGAAGAGAAAACAGTGGCCATCTTGTTTGCACGAAAGGAGGTAGCGGGACTTGGTCGTCAAGTGTCTGGAACTAATATTGGACACTCAACTTCCCTAACATCACTAAAAACATACAAACGCTTGCTTCCTTTATACAAACAGCTAGGAGAGCACCGTTCGGTAGTTTAATCCAACAAACAAGGGGAACAATATCTCCTATGAGCCAGGGGGCTCCATTCGTTAGTTTATTTGACATTAGTTTATTTGACTTTATCGAAACAGGCCGACCGTACAGACTGAACTCATGAAACTGTTTTGGGCAGGAGCCTCGTGTGCGGTCGGTGAAATGAGACTTCCATACAATTCGAAAACCCCTGAACCGATCTGGGTGATTTTTTAATATGTTGGTCATCCAGATCACGGCTATCAGAGGATATGTCACTTATGGGGATATGATGTGTTTTAGGGTACGTTCCAACTTTTGGGGAAAATATGTTTTTTTCTGCCTGGAGATAACTGGATTACCCATTAGCTTACCTAATTATCTCACAGGCAGAGAGGAGGGGAATCTATGTTTGCAGTGGGAGTGTTTCACTTTATCAATGTAATGCTTTTGGCTGTAACTTTTGTGTCCTGGTGCCCCACAAGGTCCAGGTGGGAGTTCCCCTTGCATGAGGACTTGCATAAAAGCCAGTGTGGCATCAATGAACCATTATTCCTGTTGTACCCTTCATACAGTCTAGGCTCATGTTTGGGTAACTATCTACTGGCTAGGGAGAAACTTCTTGGAAGCTGCATTCGTCTGGAACTATTCGTATCTACACCCGAACTGCAGCTATAATCACTAAGGCTCAGCAGTTCGGGAGGAATAGGCGAGCAAGGTACCATAACTACCAGCGTTCGTAACATCTCTTATACAGGATTTTTTATTATAGTCACTCTGATGTGTTTGTCTACATGGTAACAAGAGTAGCTTCAGCTAACAAACTTTGTCTTTCACAGTTTATAAAAAACGACATTTGCAAAAAACTGTTTTTGGTTTCCAAGTTCCTGTCAGGTTTGGTGATGTGAGTTTGAAGTGTGAAGTCTAGCACACCCTTGCAATACACTACTAACCAGGAGGCCTGGTAGGGTACAAGGCAACTATATAGCTGACTGGCAACACTGGGCTTTTTTTTTTAGAATGGGAAAAGGCAAAGACATAGTCATTATTCCAGAAAATTAGCTGGGTCCAAGCACACAGGTTCGTAGTAGGAGTCACAATCAGGGGTTTGGTACACTTTGGAGTCAATGAATAAACACACTGTATAGTGGCTGATACTTTAAAGAACACAAGAACGTATATGTGGTACTGCTGTACTCAAGAGGGATTTACATAGGGACGGGAAATCAGGCATGCCCCTTCATTGACATGTCACTGATGTCATCAAGTCCGATCCGTTTGTCTCTTTAAATACTGCCGCTTTATGGAAGGGAGTGCAGCAAGGAGGGAGGGGACTTTAAACCTGATCCTCCTTTTCCTACAGAGTACCACAATTATGAAACGACCTCCCGCAGACTTTCAAACCTTCCCCAAGCCTAAAGTCCTTTAAGAGATCCCTCTCTACATACCTCAAAATAGAATGCACCTGTCATGGTTGATTATATATTTCCCAACTGTTACATTTTGTATATATTGTATATTAATATTGTTTTTGTATTTTATTGTACCCTATTGTATCAATGCAATGTTTTGTGGACCCAGGACATAGATGAAAACAAGAGAAATCTCTATGTATCTTTCCTGGTAAAATATTTTATAAATAAATACAATAAATAATGCACTGACAACAGACGTAGTTTTTGCACAGAATTCACATTAGGCAGCCTGCAATTAGCTGCCAGTACAAAACTGCATATTTCTCTGTTTGTGCAGTGTTTCCAATTGAAACGCTCGACATACAGACTCCTACCACCATGACCACTTCTAAACGCAGAAGTGGTCATGGTGGTTGGGGTAACCCTTTCAAACTCTTTATGCTCAGCTTAGAATCCAAAAATCTATTTTGTCTTTTCTCTTTTGCAGGGTAATTATTGATGACAGCAACAGAAAGTTCCTAGGAAAGTTCCTGGGTAAGCAGATTATGAAGGTATCACCAGATGCAGGTGATAATGAGGAGGGATGTATAATATGGGGATACAGAGAGAATCTGAACGTCATCTGAAAAGACTGGGTACGAATTCAGAGGAGCAAAAGTTGTAATTATTGGAGTAATGACTGAGAAGAGAAGAAGGTCAAGAAAGGCATTGTGAGGTGGCATGAATTGTAAAGAAATAATCCAAGGATCAGTTAGAGAGGTGATGCTAGGGGGGAGTGTGCTAAGGACTTAGTCAGGTACATTCAGGTAAACATACCATGCTATCGCAGAAGGAAGTTATCAGTCAAAAGCCAGGGGGATGGGATATGGTGCATTTATTAGATTTTTGAGTAATCATACATTTAGCAACATAAATAATTAAATAAAAATGTAGGATTGCTTTGTTTGCATGATGGTGTATCAGATACAAGGTTACAATTTAAGTGCTTATACTGTCAACACAACATACAGAGTATTCTTTCTTTGTACTTGTGATTAATGTAAACATTGTTTTTGTTCTAAGCGAAAGGTCTGCTTCAAACGCTAGAATCAGCTGCAGACATATTCCAGTAGACACATTCCAGACATTCCATTATTTACCAGTGGCACCACTGCACCTCTGACATTATTTATTAATTCGGACACAAAGAATCACTATACCAAATAAAGTATGCCACATTTAGAGAAGTACAAACTGCTTTACAAAATGTATGCCTCAGAAATGTAGCTGGAAAATTCTCAAATTCAGCTTTTTTTTGCAGTTTGGATTTTGTATCTTAAATTTACTGTGACTGCTTGAAATGCATTCCTACTTTTTTTTGTTGCATATTCTGGCTTACCTTTGCTCCATGGCGATGGCCATTTTTTATGCCCGCATGGTCCTGTTTGGTCAAAAGCACCACTTAACTGACCAGAGGATGTGTGCAAAAAATACCAAAATTTAATTTCATACTTACCAGTAAATTTATTTTCCTGGCTATTTCTCATGGCAGTATCACTTATGGGTTAGCTCCACCCTCAGCCGGATCAGGACAGAAAACAATTAAACAATTAAAGAGGCTGTAGGCATAAAGGGTTCCTCCTCCCTCCATACCACAGTCCAATTAAAAAGCTCAGACAAAACCCAGGGCGGGAACCTGATGCTGCCATGAGAAATAGCCAGGAAAACAAATTTACTGGTAAGTATGAAATAAAATTTCGGTATTCCTGGCTAATCATGGCAGCATCACTTATGGCTAATACCCAAGCATACTAGCTAGAAGGGTTGGGAAAAGTAATCCACACTTATTAACTGCAATAACACATAATTTTATTTTGCCGTACTAATAGAAGCCAACACGCTTCTGCCAAACTTAGTAGAAGAAGAGGCTACATCCAGCCTATAATGTTTAATGAAGGTCATAGGAGAAGACCACGTTGCTGCCTTGCAGATGTCATCAGGAGACACCTCTGCCCAATTAGCCCATGAAGTAGCCAAAGACCTAGTCGAATGAGATTTAATCCGTTTCGGAGGAGAAACACCTTTCAGAGAGTAAGCTTTAGTGATGATATTGGAAATCCGTAGTGTAGAAGTGGAAGCAGCTTCACCTTTCCTGGAGCCTTCAGGAATAATGAACAAATGATCCGTCTTATGAATTAAAACAGAAACAGACAAATACCTGATCAAATATTCGCTAATATCCAGATTATGAAGCTTCACCTCCAGATACGAGGAAGGTTCAGGAAAAAAAGAAGGCAGAACGATCTCCTGGTGTAAGTGAAATTTTGAGACAACTTTAGGAAGGAATTCCATTTTCAGACATAAAACCACTTTGTCGTGGAAAACCTGTATATATTCCTCTGCACAGGAGAGAGCTCTCACCTCCGAGATTCTTCTGGCTGATGTAACAGCCAACAAAAACAGAGTTTTGTACGTGAGAGAAGAGAAATCCAAGTTCTCTAGAGGAGAATAAGGAATTTCGGACAAGGCATCCAAGACCAGAGGAAGATCCCATGGAGGAGCATAGTTGCGCAGAGGGGGTCTAATGCGAACAGTAGCCTTAAAGAACCTGGTAATCAGGGGATTTGAAGCCCAAGAGTAGTTACAGAGGGCCGATAGTGCAGAACACTGCACCTTCAAGGTATTCAGGCTTAAACCATTATCCAATCCCGCCTGTAAGAACTCCAAAATCTGGTTCTGATCAGGGTTCAAGACGTCTAGACCTTTGTTAAGATTCCAGGACTTAAATGACTCCCATATACAGTGATAACACTTAGACGTAGATTTCTTCCTAGACAGAAGAAGCATATTAGTTACTGCCTCAGACAATCCTGTTTGCAGGAGCCGTTCCCTTTCAAAAGCCAGGCCCCCAATCTCAGTTGTACAGAGTTGAGATGGTAGACAGGACCCTGCCTTAGCAGATCGTTCCTGATTGGAAGCCGCCAGTGTTCCTCCAAGGACATTTTGCACAGGAGAGGGAACCAGAGCCTCCTTGGTCAGAACAGGATGATAGCTATTATCACTTCTACATCTAAATTTTCTTTAGTAAGCGAAGAATTATTGGTAAGGGAGGAAACACATATCCCAGATCGAAATCCCATATTTGAGACAAGGCATCCTGACCCATTGCCCGATGGTCTGGAAGAAGAGAGAAGTACTTTGGGACCTGAGTGTTCCTGTCCGTAGCCATTAAGTCGATCTAGGGTATGCCCCACCGAAGGGTAATTGCTTGGAATACTTCTGTGTGTAGCTTCCATTCTCCTGGTAGAATGCTTGATCTGCTCAGGTAATCTGCCAAAATATTTTGAGGACCTGGTAGATATACTGCTTTTAATCCCTGAAGATGATTCTGTGCCAGAGACATAAGAGGAGTCAGTTCCCTCAACAGAAGCTTGCTCCGAGTACCACCTTGGTGGTTCACGTTTGACGCCACTGCCCTGTTGTCTGAATTGTAATCCAAGCATCTTGTATTAAGGGAAGAAACCCTTGAAGGGCCTTGAGAATTGCTCTCAACTCTTTTAAGTTTGAATGCATTTCTCTCTCTGTGTTGGACCACCTTCCCTGCTTCCAAAGAGACCCCAGATGAGCTCCCCATCCTTGTAAGCTTGCGTCCGTTGAAACTACTAACCAGTTTGGTTCCTCCAATGGAAAACCCCAACTCAGATTCTTCATGTTCCTCCACCACTTCAGCTGATCCTTTGCATACTTCATAAGGACAATTTCTTGATCCGAGTTCGGCTTGTGCTTGCTGAACTGCCGCAGAAACCTGATCTGGATAGGTAAAATTTCCCAATGGGCCCATCTTACCAGTCCTATCATGGATGTCAGGGACCCCAAGAGGCTCATATAGCTTCTGGCAGAAAGGGTCTGACAGTCTTGTATATCCAAAATCTTTGTCATTCTTTCTGGCGAAAGGGAGAGAGTTGCTACAGCAGTATCTATCTTTGCCCCCAGGGAAAATAATAATAATCTTTTGGGATGGGATCAGAGAGCTCTTCCCTAAGTTCAGCATCCATCCGTGAGCCTGTAGACAGTGAATAGCAGTTTGAGTCTGAAGTAACTTCCTGGGCCGAGGAACCCACGATAAGAATATCGTTGAGGTAATGGAAAATCTCTATTCTCTGCAACCTTAGAAAAGCAACCAAAGTAATGAGAACCTTCGAGAACGTCCTTGGAGCTAGACTGAGCCCAAAGGGAAGTCCCCTGAATTGGTAATGCTTCCCCCATATGTAAAAACGCAAAAACTTTACATGTGCTGGGTGAATGGGAATCTGATAATATGCGTCCTTGAGGTCTATGGATGTCGTCCAACTTCACTTCTTTATGTTGCAGACAATACTGGAAATGGACTCCATCCTGAATGACTTGGTCTGTAGGTAGGAGTTTAAGACTGTAACGGCACCCTCAGCATAAAAGGGTTAAACCACCGTTTAGTAGATCTTTCCTTCCAGAGACACAGGCACAGCTACTGCAGAACACCAATCCGCCGAACAGGAAACCATATGAATGCCGTAAACAGCCGAATAGGAAAAACCATACGAATAGGTTTACACTCCTAGCAGTCGAACTGGAACAGCATACAATAAATCCCCCCAAGAACGAGACAAAGCTCTGTGTTGAGGGTCAAGCAGTCACTGGGGAGACTCTCACCCCGCTGGTATTGTACATTATCCAGGGCCTGGTACCAGATGCCTTTCCTTAATGCATCCCGGCCATCCAGGTCCTCCTCCTCGTATAACACTGCTGGTTCCATTCTGTTGCTTTTAGGGTCGCTGTACTGGGACATGCGTTGCCCCCACTTGTAAATCCAAATAAATGGTGTCTCTTGTAGCTGTCCTTCTGGCTGTAGGAACGATCCCACCGCTGCTACCAATTGTAACGGCACCCTCAGCATAAAAGGGTTAAACCGCCGTTTAGTAGCTCTTCCATTCCAGAGACACAGGCACAGCTACTGCAGAACACCAATCCGCCGAACAGGAAACCATATGAATTCCGTAAACAGCCGAATAGGAAAAACCATACGAATAGGTTTACACTCCTAGCAGTCGAACTGGAACAGCATACAATAAATCCTCCCAAGAATGAGACAAAGCTCTGTTGAGGGTCAAGCAGTGAACAGACAGAGCTGTGGGTTTATTGTTCTTATATACACATTAGTACCACCCACAGGGTTTTGGAACTCAACCAATAAACACATACAATACACTCAGACACTCTCACACAAAACCCTCCCCTCTGCCTGTGATACAATTACCTTACACAATGGGTAATGTAATTAGCACAAGCAGAGAAATAATTTTTTTCCACATTATTCATAACTTGAAAAGTATGCATCACATTTTCAGAATTAGCATACTCCAAATACAAACATATGTCAAAATCATCCAAATTGGTCCAGTGGTTCAAAAGATAGATCGTAGTGCTTTGTGACCAAAGGAAGCATGGCTTTTCTGCCCAAAACCAGTTCCACAGAGTCTTCTATCCTGGAGATAATTGGGAAGTAATCCAATTATCTCCAAGGACAGAGGCAAAACTCCATTGAACACATGGTAGCAAAAGACGATAAAACACATAAAAACATATAACTGTGCAGCCATTGCACAAAACAGGTACATTCAACATATCCCCATATAGCTCAGATCTGAGCGCACATTATTACTGAATGGCGCTCAGAGCACACACATACAGTTCAATTGCCATGGAGCCAAAGTCTTTCCCATAGTCTTTCATTATACGAATGGGCTCCATGGCATAGCTATCTGGGGTATCACCGCTCAAACAGGGCACGCACAGAATGACCCGGCTTTTGTGTCTTCACAGGGGAAAATCAAGCGTTTCAACATGGTGCCATAGTCTAAAGGCAGCAGGCAGGCAACCAGGCTCCTCCAATGCACAGTGGCGAGATTGGTCTCGTCACAAAGACCTTTAGGTCCAGAATCAGTCTCCATTTGCCTAAAGGCTTTGGAGCCAGAAACACGGTTGAATAGTGGCGTTTGAACTTTTCTGCCTTCGGAACCTCCATAATAACCTCTTGTAGGATTAGTTCCTTGATACAAGCCTTCATAGCTACTTCTTTTATCCCTCTTGCAACGCGAGATTGCGTGAAGGTAGGTGGTGGGATACTTGAAAACTCTATGAGGTATCCTTCTTTTATAATTGACAGAATCTTCATGTAGGACAGTATCTAAACTGCACACACCAAACTCAGTTAGTTCTGCCCGTGCAGCCTGATTACTGAGTTCAGATGAAGAGAGGCTGAACTTCATCTGGTAAGCCCACGGTAAACGTGGGAGGTGGCCAAAAAATTAAATCTGACTGCAGAATAAAATTCCTGTTGTCCGACTGAGGACAGAAAAAAGACTGTGGTATGGAGGGAGGAGGAACCCTTTATGCATACAGCCTCATTAATTGTTTGATTGTTTTCTGTCCTGATCCGGCTGAGGGTGGAGCTAACCCATAAGTGATGCTGCCATGATTAGCCAGGAAACACTTGATGACACCAGGCCAGAATGTGTTATTGAGATATCTGGTGCCTTCAGAATTTGGAAAATACATCATCAGCCTTCCTGTATCTTCATATTCTTTAGTTGGGTAAGAAGACTTAAATGTAGCTTTCTCCAAGGACCAAAGGTTAGCCAGGAGATCCGCTGAACAGATTTATATTAATAAAGAACACTTTTCCCTATAATGGAAAGCTATTCAATGTGCCTGCTGAAAATAAATGTGAAATGCTTTCTTCTAGCTGATGAATTAAAAATAGCAGAAATGGATGGGCAGTTGATGCTATGGGGACCACCGTGCATTAAACATAATTAATAAAATCTATTTTTAGTAATTGCTGGATTTATTGTGGACACTAGTTTACCTACTATATGCTGTGATACTTGGCAATTGTGATCTAAGATTTAGAAAAAAATAATATAACAGTTCCTAGCCCATCTGACTACAATAGTTGTAAAAAGAACGCTTAGAATGTAAGCTCGTTTGTCGGGTCCCCATCTTTTGTTCATATATGCTCAAACTTGTCTTGTTGCTACTAGTCCATCTATTGTACATACCTTTGGAGCAAGTTGCCACTTTACAAGTAACATAAATCACTAAAAGAGTCTGGTGAATAAAGAAACAAGATAAAGGAAATTTACTAAAATGTGTCCTCACACAACACACTAAAAAAACAGGTAATAACAAGCATATATTTGTAGGAATCCCAAAGTGCTAAAAACACTCCAATGTATTAAAAAATAATATAACCTTGTATATAGAAAAAATCCTTGCAAAATGAATCTAAAAAAACAAACATAAACTATACAGTGTTAATCTGAATAGTAAGAGTGAAAGTGAAGGGTTTGCTTGAGAACTCACAAGAAGTAAGAATACTGAAGTCACTTCTCCCCACCTTGGGGTAATATAAAGAGACCCTCCTCTCTGATATTCATTGAATATTAAAACAGAAGAAACAAATAGTGCAATATGTATAAAACAGCAGAGATTTTACTGATAGAATTCACTTACAAACTTCTAGTGGTATACGGAAAGCAGCAGATCACCATCCAGTTGCAGACAGGTAAGTAGTATCCATTCCCAAAGAAATCAGAGGCAAGCAAGCAGGAACAAATACAAAAACATGATATCTAAATGTCATGATTCTGAGGCTTGTTACCAGCTACTTCCAAGCTCCATTCATTTAAAGGATCAGTATAGGCACCCAGACCACTTCAGCTCATTGAAGTAGTCTGGCTGCAATGTCCCAGGCCTCTTAACCCGGCAAAGGTAATTGTTTTATTTGTTTTGAAGAAACTGCAATAATTATCTTTATGGGTTAACTCCAGCTCTAGTGGCTGTCTACCAGATAGCCACTAGAAGGAGTTCCGGGTCGTTCGCGACTTTTGGTCGCCGGACATCCAGCGTCACCCAAAACCCAAGTACTAATGCGAGTGTGACCCACTGATGTCAGGAGGAGCAGAGGTGGAACCTGACCCACCGCCAAGGGACATCAGTGCTGGAATCAAGTGACAGAAGCTATTTTTAACCCCTTCTGCACCACGTGTGGTGGTGGAGGGCTCGACGAAGGGAGCTATAGTGCCAGGAAAATACATTTCCTTTTCATTTCCCAATTCAGTCTAACTCATGGAGCTGTTCTTTTATAACTCTAGGATTTATCTATTTAAATGTATACTCTTTTTTTTTTTTTTTTTAAACTCCCACTCAGTTGTTGCTGTGTTCCTTCCAGGAATCTGTTTAACTTGAGAGTTGCTCTAAAGGTTCTAACACGGCTGATGTAAGCTGTAAAATTTAAATTAAAAAAACAAGACAATTTACTCTTTTTATTGATTCTGTGCAATTATCCCTACACATATGTATCTATTTATATGTTGAACGATATGTTTATCTCAAGTCTGATTGTGGAATAAATAAAATTTTAATAAATGATATCTGCAATATTTGTACGTAAAACAAATCTGTTTAATGGCAAGCTATATTGCAGGGCCCATAGTACTGAGGCAAAAGGCTGGCTAGCAGGCCCCTGCAAAAACATGTGACGAGGTTCAGTACGTCACACAAACTGACTGAGAAAACATAGGTGCTTTTCTAATGCTCTAATAGCAATCAATGTAGCTATGTGAGGCACTTAGAAAAAAAAACAATTATGAAAAATTATATTTAATGTTAGGGAGCAGAAAAAACAATCATAACCAATAAAATCAGACAAGTATTGGTATGGCTCTTGAGAGAGGCAGAGGTGTACCCTTCAGGAAGTCTAGGCTCATGTTTGGGGGATTGGAGAGCTATATTCACTCTGGGGATTGCTATAATCACTATACTCCCTTGGATCACAACGATTGCTCTTGTAAGAGCAGCCTGCTTTGCTCTCTGGAGTAGGAGAGGTCTACCCGCTGGAAGCTGGATCCTGGTCTTGGGCAGTGGCGTACATACCAGGGTCGCAGGGGTCTCGGCTGCGACCGGGCCCGGCCCACCAGGGGGCCCGGCCGCCCCTGCTACCCGGTGTGTACGCCACTGAGCCAGCCTCTTCCCCTGGGGGGCCCAGGAGCCGGCCACCTCAGGGCCCCCCGAGGCTGGCCCTGCTGTCACCGGGCAAGCTGTCTGGGTGGCCTTTTGGAGTGCTGGGGGGGATTCCCTGGGGTCCAGTGGTGCTGCTGGACTCCTGGGCGGCCGGTCACCGAGCAGGCTGTCTGGGTGGCCAGCCCACGAGGGAGCACTCTCCCCTGTGTACCCCCTCTTCAGCTCCCTCGCACACCGCACTGATACCGGAGCCGGAATATGATGTCATCTTCCGGTTCCGGCATCAGTACGCGGCAGCGCGAGGGAGCTGAAGAGGGAGCACACAGGGGAGAGTGCTCCCTCGCGCGCTAGCCACCCAGACAGCCTGCTTGGTGACCGGCCGCCCAGGAGTCCAGCAGCACCACTGGACCCCAGGGAATCCCCCCCAGCACTCCAAAAGGTTAGGAGGCTGGGGGATTAAATTTAAAAAAATAAAAGTTAGTGTGTTTTAGTGTGTGTGTTAGTGTGTGTGTTAGTGTGAGTGTTAGAGTGTGTATGAGTGTTAGAGTGTGTGTTAGTGTAAGTGTGTGTTAGTGTTAGCGTGTTTGTGTGTGTCTGCTAGTGAGTGTCAGTGAGTGTGTCTGTTATTGAGTGTGTGTCTGCTAGTGAGTGTGTCTGTTATTGAGTGTGTGTCTGCTAGTGAGTGTCAGTGAGTGTGTTTGTGTGTCTGTTAGTGTGTGTTTGTCAGTGAGAGTGTATGTTTTGTAAGTGAGTGTGTATGGATGTCTGTCGCTGATTGTGTCTCTGTCAGTAAATGTGTGTGTCTGTTAGCTAGTGTGTGTGTGTCTTCAGCACTTACCTTCTTCCGCCTCTCAGCAAGAGCTGCGCGCACATTCAAACAGCCCATATGAAAGCATTACTCAATGCTTTCCTATGGATGTTCAATGTCTTCTCACTGTGATTTTCACAGTGAGAATCGCGGAAGCTCCTCTAGCGGCTGTCAATGAGACAGCCACTAGAGGCTGGATTAACCCTTAGTGAAACATAGCAGTTTCTCTGAAACTGCTATGTTTTTAGCTGCAGGGTTAAAACTAGAGGGACCTGGCACCCAGACCACTTAATTGAGCTGATGTGATCTGGGTGTCTGTAGTGGTCCTTTAAGTGTGTGCAGGCGCATGCACTGGCGTACATACCGCGGTCGCAGGGGTCGCAGCCCTGCAACCCCTGCGACCAGGTGCCCGTCGCCATGTGTTGCGGCGCAGCCCGCGCGAGGGGGGCCCACAAATACATTTTCGCACCGGGGCCCTATGGGTCATGTGTACGCCACTGGTCTTGGATCCAGGGTAGGTGGAGGACAGTGAGACCCCAACCAAGCTGCGGCGATTTGTGGGATTTACGGTGGTTATGGTGTTCCAGTGCAGTGCTTATGATGCTCGCAAGTACTAGGAAGCAGCGACTGATGGAGGTACCCGGTTGGGGTGCCAGGTGCTCCGTCACAGTTTGATTTATTACCAGCCACACTTCACATCAATCACCTAGAAGAAATTTGGTATTTGCATGAGTAATAGTAAATATTCCTCTATCTCACTGGTCTAATAGCTATGTTACTATAACAGCCAGAAATATTAATTACATTTCGAACATAAAAAATGCATGTACACATCATAGAAAAATATGACTACACATCACTTTGATTTTCATGATTTAGCCCATATAGATTATTCATTAAAGTGAGAATACAAAGTGAATTAAAAATTTGAGGCCGATGTAGCGGCTAACTTTAAAATTACAATTCACATTGAATTCTCACTTTACTGAATACACCTGACAATATAAGTGTGTAATCATTATCATGTTGCTTTATTCCAGGTGTATGCAGCCTTCAATACTCCAGATGTGTTGGACCTCATCTTCTCCTTACCAGTATTACAACTGTAAGGGCATCGTGGGAGCAATAGCACACAACATCTGGAGTGTCGAATGTCTCCTTTATTTTAACCATGTTGCTACATCTGGATTGTCTGATATGTAGAAAATCAAAACTCAGTGGTGGGAGCAAGCCTTTTTGATGTTTTCACTCTCCTTAAACCTTTGACAAGTGGTAAGGATGGACCAGTATTTCAACCTAATTTAACATTGGTGTGAGTCTCCTGGTCAAGTCGATGGGTAAAGATTGTTTGATTCGTATTTGTTGAAAATTGTTTCTCATTCCTGTATTTTTTTTTCCGTGCATGAGTTAATATAACAAGCATTCATGCCACGCCCCAACAGCAGTAGCATGTATTGAAAGAGATAAAGCAAAACAGTCGTGGCATAGAAAATAGGTGCACATTTTTGTATAAGGGTGATCAAGAAGAAACAAGGCAATAGTCAGTGGTGCGACAACAATAAAAAACTATCAAATATTTTGTCCAGAGGTGTTAGTGCATTTTCCACATAGTTGCCTCCTAGTTTTGTTCGACCAGGTCAGTTTCATGCAGGCGTCTTGGTGGGCTGCTGGAGGCAATGTAGCCATGTGCTTTGGGTCAGTGGGGACCGAGATAACCCCCGCCTGTCCATGGGGGGGAAGGGGTTCCACACTTATGTGCACAGCAAGATATGATGGTCAGGGAGCGGCCGCCTCCCTCGCGCCATCCATGCTGGTAGGCCGCGATATCCGATTTGGTAAGGCTGAGCACCCCACCCATCCACTATGGTTGCCTCTTTGAAGGTCACTACAGGAAAGCTTACATTGAGGAGTCGTTTAAACGTGTATTCAAACTGAAATTCAAATTTAAGGCCAAAATTGCTGAACTGGAAAATTTATCCAAGTCAGCTATGGTTCGACTTCGGCTCATGTTGAAATCCAGACAATCCCGTCAGAGAATAACGCTGTGTGACTTTGCATGTCTTCTTCTTCATTCCTTGTTAACCTTATTAACTAATGCTAGTTGCTCTGTGCCTCTACACCTGCAGGTCACGGCAATCATGGAGAGCAGACAAGCAGGTCACAGCGACAGCGCAGTCTGTTGCTAAGACTACTTAAACAGAAACAAAGTGATTTAGCTCTTAAATGCAGGGTATCTTCACCTGTGTATCTCTTAATACCCTTTTACATTTCCCCCTTTAGCCCCTTTTGAATGTCTTACTTGAGTGTATCTTTTTCCCCTTTTGTGTATTTTACAATGCCCTTGTGTGTCTCTTACCGCCTCTTTGTGTGACTTTTACTCCCCCAGCCCCTCTGCGTATCTTTTACTCCCTCCAGACCCTTTTTTCAACACCTTGGTGTGTCTCTTAATTCCCCTGAGCCACTTTGTGTGCCTCTTACTTCTCCCAAGATTTATTGTGTGTCTCTTAATTCCTCCAGCCCTTTTGCGTGTCTCTTACTCCCCCAGTCCCTTTGTTTGTCCCTGCTTTGAATTCTACCTGTATTATGATTGGCTGAAAGCACCAACAGGCCAATTAGAATATAGTTTAAATTGTGAATGCAGACTCCCCATGCATTCTTTCTCTAAAATTGTAAGTTTCCTTGTATTTAAAGCATAAGAGATAAATCACATAACTTTTGCTTGCATACAGTATCTGAACATGTTTCTATAGAAAGAATATTTATATTATATTATTACTAAACCTTGAAGAACTTTAAGAATCTGATTGTGAGAAACATAAATCCTTCATTCATAGCTTTTGTTAAAACTTGTCGGCAGTTGAAATTAGATATGAAAAAATTCCAATACAATCTCAGGGTGTGCCCTACTAACATTACATGTTTGTAAAATGAAGACACTTGGGGACATGTTCATATACCTTTGCAAAACTCTACTGTGGTTTGTGACCCATGTCCTCAAAAAAGAAAAACATTAATAATATATTATATATTAATGGCTGTTTGCATCTGATTGATTCCATTTGTTGCTTGGACATCATATATTTTTTTTAAAAAGCATTGATTTGCTACCAGTAAGCATCCTGCTGATTATGATCTGTGCTGGACTTTTCCAGCTGGCATCACTGATTATAATGTGATCGTCAAGGACAGCATGACGGGGAGATTTCCCATGCTACAAACAGCCATTAGATGGTGATAACAGACCGTTCTCTACTGTTTTAGAAGGGATTTCCCTATGCTTATTTAAGAATTCCTCTGAGCTAGGGTTATGGTTAAAGGGACATTTTAGGCATCATAACAACTTCATCTAAACAAAGTTTTTATGGTGCCTTGTGGTTTCTGAATGGTTTAACCCCAAAGTGAGCCTTCAGCACTGATTTCATCTTCCCCCAAGTGGCACCCGACTTCTGAAATTTCAGTTTCAGGAATAGCAGAGTGCTGTCGCTACTGATTGGCTGAAAGCGGTCAGCTGATACTTTCGCTACTGATTGGCTGAAAGCGGTCAGCTGATACTTTCAGCTTATCAGTGACTCCCCATTCACAAAACTGACTTGAAAAGAAGCATATTTTTTTAAGTCAGTTTTCTGAATGGGGAGCCACTGATTGGCTGAGTCAGCTGACCGCTCTCAGCCAATCAGTGGCGTCCCTGCCAGATAGCACTCCGCTATGACTGAAACTGAAATTTCAGAAGTCGGGTGCCACTTGGGGGAAGATGAAATCAGTGCTGAAGGCTCACTTTGAGGTTAAACCATCCAGCACCCTGCAGTCGGATGCAGCCTGGGAGGAGTTAAGGTCAGCGCTAAATGCTTACTTCGTGGTTAAATCATTTGAGAATGGTTTAACCCCTAGAGGGAAGAGTTCACCCAGGGGCCTCCTGTCACCATAACACCTTCATTTAGATAAAGTTGTTTTGGTGCCTCGAGTGCCACTTTAACTTTAACCCCTTAAGGACACGACATGTGTGACATGTTACGATTCTCTTTTATTCCAGAAGTTTGGTGCTTAAGGGGTTAAGGTACATTTAGAGTTAGGGTTAGTGTAGAGTTTAGGGTTAGTTAGTGTAGGGTAAAGTTTAATGGTGGATTAGGGTTAAAGCTGTTTTAATGTTTTTAATGTAGGGATAATGTAGGATTAAGGTAAGGATAGGTGCACAGTGAGAGTTGGTATAAGCATAGGGGTAGGGTTGGAGGGTCGGTATAGGGCAAGGTTACTGCCAAAAATTTAATCCCAAAAATTTAATCCCAGACATATGAGTTTTTATTTAACAATCAGGACTGGTATGCAAATCTATATTGAGTTATTTTTCTTAAGTTGCACTTATGTAAACATTTTCATAAGCAAACATTAAAAATACAAAATATTTTTAATTCCCCCTCCTCCCCTCTAATTTTAACATTTTATTCACACTTATTGTTGTGTTAGGTATAGGACAAAGAAAGCTATTTCTGTCCTTTAAAAACAAATCTATAATATGTATGTGTGCGCTTAAAGAGAAACTATTAAATTACTGTAGCACACACATAGCACAAACTTTAGGGGTTTTTTGGTTCAGAAATTTGATATTTGCCTATATCTTTGAAGGAGTTAAAAGGATACTCCAAGCATGAAAAAAAAACATTGCATCATTGTAAAGGTTATGCTACAGAGAGTACATTGCACACTGTCTCACTGCTGAGCGTGACTTATAACTGCACCAATTTGTTAAACAGTGGCATTCAGCAAGCGCCTAACTCAGGCATAGGAGGTCCTCTGGACTTCAAATAATACTTATTCTTCCAATAATTCCTCATCAACTACCACAATTTCACTTTGTGTCTGTTCTGTATCGTGAGGTTTTTTTACATTTTTTTTATTCTCTGTGGAAAATCTCTGTGGAAAATCTTTTATAAACATTGTCAAATAAAAAAATCATCATCTCATCTCATCTCAAGTGAGACACTGCCTGCCACTTGTTGATAACCCTCACATTGCCTCCTATCGTAGAAATTTACACAAGAGGGACTGAATACTTCCGCAATGCAAATGAAAACTCCAAAGGTCCAATTAAGAAATCAATGTAAAACTATCAGATCCGAGCACTCTAAATTGGGGGATTACAGTCTTTAATAGAGATGTCGCGAACCGTTCGCGAACTTCCCACGAACGGCTCGCCGCGGTTCGCCACGAACTGTTCGCGGCGAGCTCCGGTCAGCTGACTCATCCTGGCCAATCTCCAGCAGACCCTCCCTCCCAGATCCTCCCACCTCCTGGACACTAATCCATGTTGAAGGCAGCTTCAACATGGATGCTGTCCAGGAGGTGGGAGGGTCTAGGAGGGAGGGTCTGCTGGAGATTGGGTGGGATGTGTCAGCTGACCGGAGCTCGCCACGAACGGTTCGTGGCGAACTGCGGCAAGCCGTTCGCGGGAAGTTCGCAAACGGTTCGCGACATCTCTAGTCTTTAATTGAAATCAGAATACATGATGACTTTTCCACCACATCATGTGGCCTCTATCATATCTTTGATTAAGACAACATGGCGTGGTCGAAACCTCAATATGCTTCTTTACTTTTATTAATTTAATGTTTTACCAACTAACTGCGCTCATTTTAAGGCTTTCTGCAGTTTATCCTTAAAAAAAAAAAAAAAAAACAAGTAAACTGAAATCTCAGATTTTATATCCTAAATATCCAAATATGACACTTTGTGCAGAATTATGATTTGTTTTGCTATTTTTCCAACAGTTATCAAATTACTGAGTTGACTGAGCAGATTTTCAATAATCCCACTAATTATCCATCAAACTGTGTTTAGTAAATAGCTGAATTGCAGTTACACCAGATGAGAGGGTTTTCCTTGAATTTTGCAGTTTAAATGCCAGTTTGGAATTTAGCAAATTATCTTAATTTGAGATACAACTAAGCACGTGGCAAGTTTGGCCCTTTTACCAGATGTAATATGCAAAAATTTTCCATGTTACATTGCCATCCTCTGGCCATATTCTTGAACGCAATTGCTACGTTTTTGTTTTTGCTCTTTCTAATAAGATTATATTATGACAAGTTAATCTTAACATCATACAGAAGTACACCAAATAAAAATAGACAATATTTATTATTAATCCCAAAACACCAATTAGTCCAATTATATAAGAGAAAGCCATACCACAATCCTGAATATTGCATAATGACAGTATAGCCTAATGCTCAAGTAATTTCCATGAATAATTGAAATCTACATCAAATCACAAATCAATTTACAGAAGAGTATTCTCATAAAGTGGAGTGGATTGCATATCTGATAATAAGAATACAATTGTGTAGTGAGAAAAAAGAAGATTCTGATACCAAAAAAAACGAAACAAAAAGCATTGCCTCCCAACGGTTCGGCCGAAGGCCTTTCTCAAGGAAGGGTAACAAAGTAAAGCAAATATTCCCTATATATTTCTTACTGGATTTTGTTTATGTATCCATTTTTTTGTGTGTCTTTTATCCGCTTTTTGTCATTGCTTGGTTATTATCATCATTATGTATTTTTTTGGTATTCATTCATTTATAATTTTTTTTCTTACTTTTTGTATTATTATTATTATTATTATTGTTTTATTATTTTTTCTTATTATTTTTTATGTGTGTTTAGTTTCTCCAGTATCCCCATCATTGCGTATCCTGCAGTTAGTGGATGGCCACACACTCCCCCAGATGGGGCATATTTTATTTTATTTATAATATAATTTTTATATTATTTTATTTGTACATGTAGGGATTATTTGCTTTATTTGGATATCCTCCTGTGAGAAAGGCCTTTGGCCAAAACCTTGGGGAGCACTGTTTTTTTTTTAGTATCAGGATCCCCTTTTCTCTCTCTACACACTTATATTATTATTACCTCTTATTACCTGGTATGCAATCCACCTCACAAGAATATTCTTCTGTAAATTCCTTTGTGTCTTATGTTTGATGTAGATATCAGATATTCATGGTGATAACTTACTATTATTATGTAATAATAATAATGGTTTTACTGTTTTCCTAAACCACATCGAGCTGTGAGTTGGGGGGACGGGCACACCAGGGGGGGCACCTACCCAGCTCACGCACCCTGGGGGAGGGAAGGCACTGGGGAAGCGCAAGTGGAGCACCATCAGGGGACGGTACCGAAGGCAGACAGAGGGTGAAGCTACATGCTTAGCTAGACACTGCCATAGGGCAACACGCACATGCCTACTAGACGAGCCCCTTCCCACAGGGTAAGCTACTCGCCCCCGAGCACGCAAAGGAGTTCACATCCATGGTACAACAGACGGGCTATACACGACTCAACACCACGGAGGGGGGGGCAGGGGGGAGCCAGCTGGAGGGGGCCACACCTAGGGACCGAAACCATCGCGCAGGGACCAACCCCAGGGGGGCAGCGACCCCAACCTAGGCGCATTCACCAAGGCTGACCCGAGGGGGGGGGGGGCGTAGGGAATGGGGGGTGTGAATCCTGGAGCTCCACTAGGACTGGGGCCCGCCGCTGGGGCCCTGACCGCCCTGTGATCATCCAGCCGAGCAGGGGGCGGGCCCCACCGGGGGGTCCCACTCATACACGGACGAAGGGTGGAGGGGACACGCTGAAGAGGGGCCCAGGCACGGGATAGGGAGAGAGGGGCTCCTGAGAGGAGGGCCGGTGGGGGGCGACCCGAACCAGCCTTGGAGGGGCAGAGGGACCCAACACAGGTGCCAGAGAGGGGGAGGTATGGGAGCGAAGGTTGGGTACTCAGCCAGGAACACAACCAGGTTATAAAGCAGGCAGCTGCATGCCACAACCAAGTTAACAGTTTAAAGTTTAATCCTAAGAAAGGTTTATTAAGTTTAAATGCAAAATAGTTTTGTTATCTAATTCTTCTTTGCCTACCCACATGACAGGCGCCTGAGACGGCGGCTTGACCTATGACCCGGAGCCCAACACACAGGAACTTTACCGAGGAGGACGTTCATAACGACCAGAACTTGACAGATAGAGCCGACAGGGGGACTACACGGACCAAACGGACCGAGAAACGCAACTCAGGTACACATCTACCACCGACATACGCGCGGACGCAGGGAGGACTGGTTCCACCCAAAGTCCCTTAGCTTCCTTCTACTGCCCCAAAGGGCCCAGCGACACAGACAGGCGAGCAGCAGCCGCGGACCACAGGTGGCCGCTGGCTAAACCGCTCACCGTCGCTGACACCTAACTGTCACCTTACAGTGACAAGGACACGTACACCCACACCCCATACATCCCCCGTCCCCCTCCCCCCCTTTCTCTTTCTTCCTTTCCTACAACCCCCACCCGACCTACGACATAGACACAGACAGGACACAGACGCATACAGACCCCTAGACCGGACCAGGACCCAAGGACGAAACGATGCGGCCACACTCACACACAGACACGAGGGCACTGGTGCCGGACTGTCTCTCTGTCCTCTCCATAAACGCCAGAGGTCTCAATAAACCAGAGAAGCGCTCAGGAGCGCTGAGAGACTTCCACGCTAAACGAGCCTCGATAGTATTAATACAGGAGACACACTTCAAGGACGGGTCCAGGCCCAAATTGACAAACCATCACTACCCCACGGGATACTACAGCGACTACCACGCAGGGAGGTCCAGAGGCACGGCCATCCTAGTTCACAAAAACATACCGTTTGTAGAAACGGGACAGCTGACGGACAGGGAAGGCAGATTCCTCTTCCTCAAGGGCACAATGGCAGGACAGGCCTATACATTCGCAAACGTCTACGCCCCGAACACCCGACAATACAGATTCCTGGCACACACACTTAGGAAACTAAGGCCCTTCACGGAGGGAATCCTCATAGTGGGGGGCGACCTAAACGTAGCGCTCAATCCGCGGTGGGACACCTCCGCCGGACGATCGGGGGTCCCGGCGCAAAACCTAAACTCAATCAAGTCCCTTCTAACTCGCCACCAGCTGATAGATTGCTGGAGGGCCTATCACCCGGACGAGAGGGATTACACGTTTTTCTCACACGTGCACAACACTTACACCAGACTAGACTACCTTTTTACCACGCACTACCATCTACCAATAACTAACGCTGCAGAACATGGGGTGGCGACATGGTCGGACCACGCGCCGGTAACCCTAACACTCTCGTCCCCCCTGTACAGACCCCGGCACAACAAATGGAGGCTTAACGAATACCTCCTTACTAGGCCCGACTTCACGTCCGAGGTTAACGACACACTCAAAGAATACTTTGAGACGAACACAACCGAACACACCTCACCAACCATTAGATGGGAGGCACACAAAAGCGTGATACGAGGACACTTCATCCGCCAGGGGTCCACCCTTAAAAAACAGACCGACAGCCGTCTGACTGACCTAGTGGCCGAAATACACAGGGTGGAAACACTCAACAAAAACACCCAACAAACGGCACACTAGGCGACACTACTACAACTCAGGCGGGACCTGACGAGCCTCTTACATAAGAAACACCTCAGAGACGCAACCAGACATAAGGCCTTCTTCTTACTTCACGGCAATAAAAGCGGTAAGCTACTGGCCAGAATGCTAGCCAAACAGAGACAAAGGACGTACATCGATAAAATGAGGGACGGGCAGGGCACCCTACACCACCTACCCTCTAAAATCCTCGACATAACGCGGGACTACTACGCAAACCTATATGCCCTCCCCCGGCCCCTCCTAGACAGGGCGAAAGACAGCCTGCGGGAGAAAATACAAGCCTACCTGTCAGCCCACCCCCTCCCGTCCATAGACCAGGAAACCGCAGAAAGCCTAGACAAACCAATTTCGATAGAGGAACTAGCTTACGCCATTAAAGTGACGAAACAGGGTAAAAGCCCCGGTCCGGACGGGCTCCCATTAAAGTATTATAAAACATTCGCGGAACACCTATACCCCCCTCTCCTAGATGCCCTGAACGCACTAAGGGAAGGACATCACCTGCCAAAACAGACACTGACCGCACACATCGCACTCATCCCGAAGGAAGGTAAGGACAGGGAACATTGTGGGAACTACAGGCCCATCTCACTTATCAACTGCGACGTCAAACTGTTGGCAAAGATACTAGCCACACGCCTCCAGACACACATCCCCACTTTAATACATCCATACCAGGTCAGCTTCGTCATGGGCCGCGAAGCAAGAGACAACACGATCAGGGCACTGACGTTCATGCACAGACGTAATTGCGGGGACGAGGGCGTTCTACTGCTGTCCACGGACGCAGAGAAGGCCTTCGACAGAGTCGATTGGCAATACATGTTCCATACACTGGCCCACACCGGGCTGGGACCGCACTTCCGGAGATGGGTTAAGGCACTGTACGACGGGCCCACCGCCCACATTATAGTAAACGGAGCCCTGACGAGTGACTTCCCCATCACCAACGGCACGCGGCAGGGGTGCCCCTTGTCACCCCTGCTTTTTGTGCTGACACTCGAACCCTTCCTGACGCACATACGACAGGACGCAGCAATCAGGGGCATTGGACATGGAGACACACAACACAAAGTCGCGGCATACGCCGATGACCTCCTCTTCTTTATCACTAACCCGGAGGTCTCACTCCCGAATATCCTGAAGGCCTTCAGGACCTTCCGGGAGATATCCAACCTCAAAATCAACTTCACAAAATCCTACATCTTGAACGTTAGTATACCAGAACACAGAGCCTCCCCCTTAAAGCAGAGCCACACATTCCAATGGGCACAACATCAACTACAATACCTAGGCACATGGCTGACGAGGAGGGAACCTGATCTATTCAGACACTACTTCATCCCCCTACTAAACAGGTTCCGGAAAGACCTGTCGGATTGGGCATACCCACACATATCCTGGCTGGGCAGGGTCCAGGTTATAAAAATGAACCTGCTCCCACGCCTACTATACCTCATGCAAGCCCTGCCCATTACCATCCCCAGATCATTCTTTCAGGCCCTGCGACAGGAAACCGGGAAATATATTTGGGACCGCAAAAGACCGAGGGTCAAACTAGCCGCACTGACGCTGCCCAAGGACAGGGGGGGACTGGCCATACCAGACTTCTCCCTGTACTACGAATCCTGTCACCTCCAACGAATTATGGAGTGGACAAAAGAGCAGGTGCATAAGAGATGGAAAGAGGCAGAGGAAACGGATGCGGGGATATCGCTGTCCATCGTCCCATGGCTGGGGAGGGGAGGGGGTGGGAGACGGGGCACACCCTATACAACCGCAACCCTACGGGCGTGGGAGAGAGTAGCACAGAGATGCAGACTAGCGCCATTCCCATCCCCCCTTCTCCCTCTCACGCATAACGACAGCTTCCCACCGGGGCTAGACCCCAACGCATTCAGGGACTTAATCCGACAAAAACTACCCAGACTACACCACCTCCTGGCAGGCACGGAATGCAAAACACTCCCGACCCTATTAGAGGGAGCAACCCCCACCCTCCTACACCACCTAAAACACAGACAGCTACAGAGCTATGTACACACCCTCCCGGGGGGCACGGCACGGAAACGTGACCCTACCACATTTGAAAGAATGTGTATGGACCCAGACACGCAACCACACGGGATCTCACTCATTTACTCCATGCTACAGAGGGAGACGCCAACGGAGAAACCCAAATTCATGGGGAGATGGGAACAAACATTGGGGAAAACTTTCACAGACGGGGACTGGGAAAAGATATGCTACTTAACGCATCACTGCTCAGTCTTCAGCAAAACACAAGAAACGGCGTTTAAATTGTTAACGAATTGGTACCGCACCCCGATTGCACTCCATGCCATGGACCCGGAACACTCGGATCTCTGCTGGAGGTGTAATAGAGAGGCCGGCACAGTACTCCACCTTTGGTGGGCCTGCGAAGCCATAAAGCCCTTCTGGCGCGGGATACACGGCTTTCTCAAAACCTTCTCAGACACACCACCCCCCTTCCTCCCAGAACACATGCTCCTTCACCATACGAAGTCACGTAGAACGAGATACAAGCACTCACTAACCATTAGAATCCTAAACGTTGCCAAACAGGTGATCCCTCAATTCTGGAAGCAACAAACGACACCCCCATTGACGTCCTGGTTCTCCCAAATGGAGGAACTCAGAGCCATAGAGGAACTCATTATGACCACATCCAACTCCTTGAATAGGTACACGGACATATGGACCCACTGGATACTGACTACTACCAAGGCAGAATTCACAACCAGGCTCCAATACGACACGTGAGGACACAGCGACGAGGCCGCATAGACCGACTAACACAGAGACGACCTAGACAGACGTGACCCAGACGCGGACGCACCCCGACCCCCCCACCTCCCCAGACGCCACTACCCGGACACCCTCCCCAATCCCAAACACTGCGTGCGAACAGACAAGTATTAGGCATACGCCAGTGACAACATAAGAGAGGACTTATAAGGCCTCCGGGGAGACGCTCACTCCTCCATGAGGAGACAACAGAACATATGACACCCACATGCACGTTCTCCAGATCAGGCCACGGGACTTAACGCTGGGCTCAAAGGGGCCAGCGGACCCACCCTGACACCTTAACGTTTGCTAGAGGTAAAACCTGACCGCCTTACTGCAACGAGACTCACGGGCCCGACACCAGACTATAACACCCACAACATTGTGACCGGCACGTCACCAATGCTGGTTTTGCAGACCGTCATTCCTTTCCAAAGGCTGCTTATGTCCTACCCTAAGTGGACCTGCGAGTCCGCACTGACGTTTGCCTAATGTTACTTAACAAACGGAGCAACTGAATACAAACGATACACCAGTTTAGGGACAAGAACTGCATGCTGTAAGGGACCTGCGAGTCCACCGCAATTGTGGGCCTGCGCGCCCGGTTGGCCGACATAAAAACGCTATGCACATGTTGTACTTTGGTTAGTGTGCCCTAAAGGCCTACGGAGACCTGCGAGTCTCAATGTGACTTATTATCGACAATGTAAACCGAAAAAAAACATATTTACAAAAAAAAATAATAATGGTTTTCCATTATATAGAGGAATAATTGTTGTTTTGGGGGTTATAATAAAGAGTATATATTTTATTACCAGAACCAGAACCAGAACAACATACAAACACACTTCTGCAACCTAAATCAAATGTTACATACAAACTCCAAGAGGATATAAAAACACATCCATTCACTCAAACACTTCACACAAATGTACAACTGCATTTAAAAGTGAACATAACATTCAAACACACCCTTGCAATCAAAGGCAAACATAACATACAAACACACCCCTATATCAAAACACTAAAACTATATAAAAGCACCTCTACAAACAGCAACACTGTACTCGTCACGGGTGCTTGGAGGGGCCTGCTGGCCAGCCTCTTACCAAAAGACTATGGGCCCTTTAAAAAAGTATGTGAACAGACTTGGTTTGTGGAATTTTATATGTGGTTCGGGAACCGAATAGCCGCACGAACTGGAGACCACCCCGGAGCTTGTTACGCCTAATTGCTACTTTGTAGCAATTTCCACCGCAGTGTTCTAAGTTTTCATCTTGGTGGCTGCAATTCATATGGACGACCACGAGGTGGCAGCCATCTTGTTCGCATGAAAGCAGGCAGCGGTGATTGGGCATGAATCCCATGGAACTGAAAACGTACACAGAAACTCCCGAACAACGCTGGACTTCCAGCATTGCCTGCGCTCGGTTCTACAACACTTAGAAAGGCGCTGTTCGGTGGAAAGGTTCCCACGAACAAGGGGAACATACTCCAGGGTAACAACATTTACAACATTAAAATATTAAGGGCGCCTTGAACCTAAAAAGTTTGGGAACCACTGGTATAGACCGTACCCTAAAGGAAATAGGGTAATCACAGTGAGCACCTTTTAACAAATTATCATGAATTAAATGGTAACTATATACACCATGATAATTCGAATGCCACTGATATACCAGTGTTATAGTGAAAAAATATATAGAGAGAATAAGTAAAAAACCGGAGCACTTACAATACCCCGCTGTATATACCTTGGATCTGGTTGCTCCAATTTATATGTACATGTGTATAAAAAACAAATAAAAATACATAGTGTAACACAGTATTACAAATGGGAGGTAAATTGCCTGCACGCTTCCACTTCTGGGTGGTCCGCCTGTGTGGTACTTGGTTCAGTAAGCCCCATTTACTGAACCAAGTGGGAAAAGGGCACAAACAAAGTATTTTAGAGGACAGGGGACACAGTCTTAAAGGGGAATTTTTCCCAAAAGTCACAGTATGTCCCCTGATGGTTCTTAAAGGGCCAGCAGCACAATAAAAATCCATTATGCCCAAATACTTTATTTAAAGGGCCAAACCTCCCAGGTACCATAATCACATGGCAAGAGGCTGGCAAGTAGTCCTCTTCAGGCACAAGTGGCAATGTTAATTTTGCCACAATCTTATTGGCCAGAGTAGAGGCCCTGCTTGATCTCCCTCAACAGCACTGATCTATTGCAGAGTTTTGCAGTGGATTACCACAGAAATGCTCTGATAAATTTCCCGGTGCCAAATAGAAGGAGAACCCACATGATGTCTGTTGGTGTTTTGGGAAGTTACAGGGTCAAATATAATGTTACATTTTTCAGTTGTTTCCCATTGAAATATATTAGGCAGCAAGTGAACAGTCAGTTCATAAATTTCATGTGTTGGAAGCAGGAAAAATGGGCAAGTGAAAGGATCTAAGTGACTTTGACAATGGCCAAATAATGATGGCTAGACGGCAGGTCTTGTGGGTTATTCCTGGTATGCAGTGGTTAGTCCCTTCCAAAAGTGGTGAAAGAAAGAACAACTGGTGAACCAGTGTCAAGGTGATGGGTGCCCAAGGCCAGTGGTGTACACACAAAAACACACTCACTGCCACTCACTAGCAGACACACTCAATAACAGACACACACTAACAGACACACACAAACTAACACACAACTAACACACTCAGTAACACACACACACACACACACTAACACACACACACACACACACACTGACACACAAAAACACATTTTTTTTTTACATTTAATCCCCCAGCCTCCCTACCTTTGGGAGTGCTGGTGGGATTCCAGATTCCCCTGGGGTCCAGTGGGGCTGCTGGGCGGCCGGTCCTGCAGGAGGCGAGGGTGCACTGATCTTCCTGTTCAGCTCCCTCGGGTGCCGCTTACTGATGCCGGAGCCGGAGTGACGTCATATTCCGGCTCCGGCATCACTGTAGTGCGTGCAAGGGAGCTGGGCAGAGAGAGCTCAGGAGAGAATGTTCCCAGGAGGAGAGGCTGGCAAAATGTGGCCGCACTAACGTACATACCTGGGTCGCAGGGCGGCCGGGCCCCATGGTGGACCGGGCCCGGTCACAGCTGCAACCCCTGCGACCGCGGTATGTACGCCAGTGCCCAAGGCTCATTGATGCACGTGGGAAGATAAGGCTAGTCCTTCTGTTTCAATCACACAGAAGAGTTACTGTAGCTTAAATTGTTTAAAAAAAATTGTTTAAAAACTTAAAACTGGCCATGAAATAATGGTATCATAACACACAGCGCGTTGCAGTTTTCTGTGTATGGGGCTGTGTAGCCGCACACTGTTCAGTGTGCCCACAATAACCCCTTTTTATCGCCGAAAGTGCCTTCAGTGAGAACATAAGTGTCAGAGCTGGACCATGGAGCAATGAAAGAACGTTGCTGGTCTGATGAATGCCATTTTCTATTAGATCAGGTAGATGGCTGGGTTCTTGTGTGTAGTTAGGGAAGAGATGGCAGCAGGATGCATTATGGGAAGAAAGCAGGCCGGCGGAGGCAGTGTTATGTTCTGGCGGAGGCATTGTTATGTTCTGCTGGGAATCCTTGGGTCCTAGTATTCATGTGGATGACATGTATCACCTACCTAGAGATTGTTGCAGACCATGTATATACATTCATGGCAATGGTGCTCCCTGATGGCAGTGGCGTCTTTCAGCAGGATAACTCACCCTGCCAAACTGCAAAAATTGTTCAGGAATGGTTTGAGGAACATGGCAAAGGGTTCAAGGTGTTGCCTTGGCCTCCATTTACCCCAGATCACAATCCGATTCGGCATCTGTTGGAAGAGCTGAAACAACAAATCCAATCCATGAAGGCCTCACCACACAACTTGCATGATTTAAAGGATCTGCTGCTAATGTCTTGGTGCCAAATACCACAGGACCCATTCAGAGGGCAGTACAAGTTGGACCTACGCGATATTAGGTATGTGGTTTTAATGTTGTGACTGAGTATCAGTGTATTTTGGTATTTTAGAGAAGCACTACTGCTCAGAAATGTTCCTTTTTTTCTTCAATATTTAATTTTAATTAAATGGCCACTAGATGGAGCTGTAGGAACACTTTTCCCAAACATTACATTTGGTTCTGGCTATCTGTCTCTATACTTCTACAACATAACATTCTACATGTTTTATAGCCATTAAATATGGAATCCTAATAGGTGATGGACTATTTAGTTCAGCTCTGCTTCAGTAAAAGAAATGTAATCTATTTTGCAAGACAAGAACATGTTGTTTTTAATAATATGAGATGTTCATCCCTAACAGAACATGAGCCACAACACTGCTATCGAGTCAAAGCTATATCAGAAAATATGTTTTAAAGCAGTGATTGTCTGCATTATCAATTCACATAACTGCATACCTCCCAAGTGTTCCTATTTTAAGGAGACAGTCTCCATTTGAGTCCAAATCCATCTGTCCCTCTTTTCAAGGAGCTCCATATTGATGGTGTGTCAGAGTGTATAACCAGTGGTGTATTTAGGATTTGTGCTGCCCTAGGCAGGACGGTGTTCGGGCACACCCCCCACTCCCCCAATTAATATTTTCCCCGCCTCTTCCTGTTAAGGCCACACTTTGACTGACAGACGCTCACTCACTGACAGACGCATACTCACTGACAGACGCACATACTCACTAATAGATGCATACACTCATCGAAAGACACACACTCTCATATACACTGACAAACAATGACATACACACACACTCACTGATCTGACACACTGATAGACAGACACACACTATTACTCGGACACACACTGTCAGACTCACACTCACTGACAGACTCACTGACAGACGCACACTCTCACTGACAGACGCACGCACTGACAGACGTACACACTTACTGACCGACACATACACACTCACTGACCGACACACACATTCACTTAGACACACACATTCATTCACAGACACACACATTCACTTAGACACACACGCACAGACACACACGCACACACACATTCACTTAGACACACACACTTATAAACACCCACACTTACAGACACATTCACTCATAGACACACACACACTTAGACACACACACACATTCACTCACAGACACACACACACTTAGACACACACACATACATTCACTCATAGACACACACACACACATTCACTCACAGACACACACACACATTTCCACCAACACATCACATCACAAATTATAACTTTTTAAATTTTAATTTAAATCCACCCAGCCTCCCTGGGAGAGCTGGAGTGGATTACTTACCCGGGGTCCAGTGGAGCTGCTGGGTGGGCAGGCAGGGGACGGACAGGCTGAGTAGGCGGCGAGGGAGCTCCGATTTTCCTGGTCAGCTCCATCCCGCGCCGCTTAGTGATGCCGGGAGCCGGAGGGACGTCATATTCTGGCACCCGGCATCATTATGCGGCGCGCGAGGGAGCTGAGCAGGAAGAGCTCAGGTGAGCATGCTCCCTTGCTGCCCATCGCCCGCCTCGGAGGGGCTCAAAAGTGGCCAGCTCTTGAACCCCCCAGGACACGAGGCAAACAAGGGATCTGACTGGGCATTTGGGGGTGGCTTTTTTTTGCCACCCCCTGCAAAGTGCCGCTAAAGGCAAATGCCTTGTTTGCCTCGCGGAAGATACATCACAGTGAATAACAGAATGCCACAGTACTTATATTCATTGGAATTTGTCTTTAAAATACAATAAATGTTTTTATAATCCAGTCTGTGTAATAAGGACCTCCATGTGTCTAATCTTCCCCTTTCATGTCTTATCCCCCCAGCCCCTCTATGTGTGTCTTTCCCTCCCTCCGGCCCCCATGTGTACCATTCCCTTCTCCTGAGCCACTGAATGTATCTCAATCCCTCCCCCCCAGTTCCTCCACGGGTATCATTTACTCCCCCCCAGCCCCTACATGTATATCATTCCCTCCCCCCATGTGTCTCATTTCCTCCCCCAGCCCCTGCATGTGTCTCATTCCCTCCTCGCAGCCCCTCTATGTATATCATTCCCTTCTCCCCAGCCCCTACACATGTCTCAAACCCTCCCCGACAGCCCCTCCATGCAGGGCCGCCATCAGAGCATGACAACCATGACGGTTGTCATGGGCCCGGCGGTCCTGGCAGCCTGGACTGCTCTGGGAGTTCCGGGCTGACATTACCAATGTACACATATATATAGCAATTTTCGGCTACCTGTCCCACGGCCATAGTTTACCATGGCAACGCTCCGTGCGGCACGCAGGCTGCGAGAGTAAGACACAGGAGCTGCTGGAAAGGAAAGTGAGAGTGTTAAAAAATTTAATATTTTTTTTTTTTAAATTGTTACATAAAATGTAAACCCCCCCCCATTTTACACACATTACACACACTATACAAACACACACTCTGCATTCACTATACACACACACTACATGCACTACTGCATCTAATACACACAAACAGCCTTCACTGTTAACAGATATGAGATAAACGTTTTAAATTAAACAGAATGTTTAAAGAAAAGTTTAAACATTAGATCATGCTTTACATGAAGTGTGTAGGGAGATTGGGTAGGTCACATGCAGGGGAAGTGGGACTAAGTTGACTAAACAAAGTGAATTAACTCCTTAATGGTAAAGAATTGATCAGTGAGACTACACACCAAAACCACTTAAAGGACCACTCTAGGCACCCAGACCACTTCATCTTAATGAAGTGGTCTGGGTACCAGGTCCTTCTAGGGTTAACCCATTTTTTTATAAACATAGCAGTTTCAGAGAAACTACTATGTTTATTAATGGGTTAAGCCTTCCCCCAAAGCCTCTAGTGGCTGTCTCATTGACAGCCACTAGAGGCGCTTGCGTGCTTCTCACTGTGATTATGAATGCTTTCCTATGCGACCGGCTGAATGCGCGCGCAGCTCTTGCCGCGCGTGCGCATTCAGCCGACGGGGCGGAACGGAGGAGGAGAGAAGGAGGAGAGCTCTCCGCCCAGCGCTGGAAAAAGGTAAGTTTTAACCCCTTTCGCCCTTCCAGAGCCGGGCGGGAGGGGGACCCTGAGGGTGGAGGCACCCTCAGGGCACTATAGTGCCAGGAAAATGAGTATGTTTTCCTGGCACTATAGTGGTCCTTTAATTAATCTAAAGATATTTTGAAGATTATAGTGTCCCTTTAAAAACCCTTCAAATAATTTCCCAGCCACAGATGTTAAAGGAACACTAGAGGGTTGTGAATACAAGCATATTTTCCTGACTCTATAGTTGCAAAAACTACCATCTTGCCCCCTTGGTACCCCCTAAATATAGTAAGATCTTCATTCAAGTCTGCTGATGCTAGCTCTGCCCCTTATATGCCTGCTTGACTGACATCATCAGAAGTTGTGGTCTGAGCCAATCACATAGGAAAGCATTGTATTGGTTGATATTGTTAAGGAGGAAGATCTGGGGCAGAGCCAGCACAAGTCAAACACAGCCCTTGCCAATCAGTATCTCCTCATAGCGATGCATTGAATCAATACATCTCTATGGCTGTGCCATCACTCGAGTTTGGTGTAATCAGATTTTGTAACAGCAGAGGGAGATTTGCAACACTGCTCAGAGAGGCTTGGGAGGCCCCATCTGGGCAAATCTGTGGAGTGCCACCACTGTATTTTTGTGCCTACCCAAGCTGGAACCAACCCCTGTGCACCATCCAGGTATTCAGGGGACCATCAGGCGAAATGACAACGTTTATGGTTTTATGCACTTTCCTTGGAGGGAAGTACTCTTTGTTTTACCAGATCCATGGAGATAAGTTGTCGGCTCTTAGACCGGCTTGGAACTGAAGCAGTTCTTCACCATGGCTCTACTGTGATGGCCTCTTAAGCGGACAATGCAAGTTCACACAAATATTGCCCAGCTTGGGAATCAGTTGCCTATCCCTCCTCCAGTTCCTGTCAGCCTATTTGATAGAGTTAGACTTTGACTTTGTTTAAAGACCTTCCATTTATCATCTGTGCATTTGTCAGTGAATAGTTCCTGCCATTCAATCTGTAGTAAATATGCCCTTATCATATTGAAATTATCCTTTTTAAACTCAAGCATTTTTGTAAAGGCCATATATTTATTTATTTATTAAGTTAATCTCAAATGATACACTATTATGGTCACTATTTCCGTAACCTGAATGTTTGAAAATAGGTCAACACTATTAGTTATTGTAAGATCCAGACATGCATCTATTCTCTTTGGTTTTTCTACTAATTGAGACATAAAAGTGTCATTTATCAGGTTCAAAAACCTGCTTCCTTTAACTGTACTACTAGTCCCTCTGGCCCAATCAATGTCTGGATAATTAAAATCTCCACTGATTAACAATTTACCCAGATGTGTAGCCTTATTAAGTTGAGATGGCAGTTGCTCTTTCCCATCAGAATTAATATTTGGGGGCTTGCAACATATTCCTCCTATTAATGAATATCCTCTGTTTCCTCCTATGCATATTTTTTATCCTTCCTAAATAATGTATATCCATTTTAATGAATAGCCCAGTAACGTGTTTCAGTAATCCCAGTTATGCTATACTGTTCCCTGTTTACCAATATCTCCAGCTCCCCAATTTTCTTACACAGGATTCTTGCTGTTAAATTTCATATCCTTCTATACCACCTACTACATTTATTTTTCAGTGCCCCTTTCCCTCTATTTTTCTGTGCTCCTTTCCTTCTAGCCATCCTCTATCCTAAACCTCTTTAGTTCAGTTGCAAGCACAAAATCGGACTAGTTCTATAGAAATCCAAACCCTCCTTTCTATAACGCAGACTTCAGTCATGCATTGACCTGCGTATCCCTTGACTCAGGTAAAATCCCTGAAAATACCATCTTGGAGGTCATTTTCTTAAAGGAACACTATAGGGCCAGGAACACCAACATGTATTCCTGACCCTATAGTGTAAAAACAACCATTAAGGTGGGTTGCCTCCTCCCTTTCCCCCCCCTTAGAAAGGTTTACAACTTACCTTATTTCCAGATCTTCACAGGTCTGCAGAAGCTGGCCCCGCCCCCAACCTGCCTCTTTGGCTGACATCATCAGAATTGACAATCTCAGCCAATCCAATGCTTTCCCACGGGAAATCAGCATCTTCTCATAGAGATGCATTGAATCAATGCATCTCTACGAGGAAAGTTCAGCACCAGGGAGACAGGAAACTGTCTGACTGAGGCGATCACCAGGCACCAGGGAGACAGGAAACTGTCTGATTGAGGAGATCACCAGGCACCAGGGAGACAGCAAACTGTCTGGTTGAGGCGATCAGAGACGCAAATTGCCCTGTCTCCTCTCTAAGTAATAAAAAACCCCACCACTACAACCTGCCTAATCTTTCTATCATATTGAATCCTATCCATACTAGGGGGAGCTGTTTCCCCGGCTGATAGAATGAACAGCTTTCTCCATCACAGCCAGCCTGAACTGATACTCTCAACATCTT